AAAAAAAAAAAAAAAAAAAAAAAAAAAAAAAATACATAATCTTATTAAAAAAAAAATAAAAAAAAAATAAAATATCTCATTCAGAAAGAAGAATAAATAATAAAAAATATATTGAAAGGCGGATGAAATTTTAATCGGATGAGTCACTTTTTTACCGATCGCAGGAATACCATCGTGCGAAATTAAATTCTATAGCAAACATTTGACGACGACGATTATATGCACGCATTAATCATCCTATTTGTAATTTCATTCAGTGATAGTGGAAAAAAATCGTGTGTTTATTATGCAGTATCTTTCCATTAGACTGATAGACGAGGAAAAATTTAATCCAACGGAATTGCACACACGCATTCACAGAATCATCGGAATTGAACGTATACGTATACTACGCGCTCTCTGTTATATTTGAAAAATTGTTCTTTTTCCTCCTCCTATATTTTTTCCTGCCCTTTTCCTCATCAAGTTGAAAGTGGGGGCTATCATCTCCTTCCAATTTGATCCCAGCTATCCTTACTTAGACTGTTAGAATGAATGTGTGGGACTAAATTAATTAATCGAAAATAATTGATGAGCGAGGCCTTAGGAGTAGTCGATCCGCCCAATTCTTTACTTATGGATATAGCGTTTAATCGTATTACCGAGCAATTCGCTATACACAATTATACATTATACATAGAGGATAGCGATTTAGTTTCATAGTCTTCTCGTTAGGTACTCTATCCGACACTCGTAACTGAAATTCTTGAAAGTCTAATGAGGTAGAGACTCTCACGAATGCACGTTAGATCCCTGAAATTCGAAAATACGTCTTCACTAAATTCAGATTTCACTATTCAGCTTCGGAGACTCTACAAAACAACATAAATTACTTGCAGGTTGATCACGTACACTACTATTCAACTACTTCATCCTGCTGCATAATTACACATTTGTTTCACAACATTTACACAATTGTCGGCACCTAAATGTTTATGTCTGTCATTTTTTAACTAATAGAAGCCATTCAAGAGTATCCCATACAAGAAGAAGTATTATTGTTACAAAGTGATTTCCATAAATTTCTTTCAATTGGATAACAATGAAAAATGACTGGCTTGCTTGCAACGGCAGATTCAGGAAGTAATCAAAATACAAAGATATAGGGGGCCAGTTTAGAGTCACCCGAGCCTAACATAAATCAAAGATAGACTTATTAAATTAATTAATAGCTGTAACATTCTTTAATAAGTGGGTTCTGCCAATAATTTAGTTCAGTAGTGATCACATATATTCTTTTCCCTCGATTTATTCTGGAATGCATAACAAAAGAAAAAGAAAAGAAAGAAAGAGAGAGAAAGAGAGAGGAGAAAGAAGGAAAGAAACCTGTCTTCTGAAAGTCCTTGTACATATATGTCTTCTACTCTAGATACCTGAAGAGGCATTATTGCACTGAATTAAAGGTCGAGCCCCCTACTTCATTGTGCGCCAACAAGAACCTGTACAGCATATGAACATTTTATGGAAAGATCAGAGCAAATTTTGTCAGTAACTTCTGTCTTTATCACTCAATTGCAAATCAAATATTAGAAAAATTACTACATGCGATAATCAAAAGATCTGAATCGGCCTATTTAAGATAGGAAGAAATAAAATATATTTTATTCTCCTCGGTTAAATTACTAGAAAATTCTTGCATCTTTCGGTGCTCTTTTCTTTCCATCTGCAAAATTAGTATCACGAAGTGTTCTCATTCATTAATAAGACTCACAAAATAGAAACAATAGATTTACAAACTTTCGAAAATTCAAACGAAATGAAAGAAATATTTATCGCTTGATAATAATAAATCTAACATAAATTTGTGCGACTCAGTTATTAGAAATAACTAGTAATTAAAGTATTATTAACATCCTAATAGATTTAACACATTATTCCCATATGTCTAATGGCAATAAGATTATTCTACACTATAAAACACTGCCATAATTTCAACTATTGTTATATTGCTTTTAAGATCCTGCCAAATAATATCATCACGTTAGATGCTGTAATGTATCGAACACATTCTTCAAGGGTCTCTTAAAAACATTAGAAACTTTTTAACGAAGAACAATGTTTCATTACACATTGCAAAATTAAATCAAGAAAGATATTTCTTCTTTGAGTTCGCAACAGGATATTTGGATTTGTTGCTTAATTATGAGAACATTTCCAATGTGAATTCCAACAGAATACCAACAAATTAACAGATAAGAACTGTTAAATGCTAGTAGTTTGTTAGTTCATTGAATTCTATGCATAAAAAAAATGTCTCAATTCACAGATCAAGGTTCCTACTATCCTTGAAATTTATTTTTTCAACAATTACAGCGGAACTTTGTACATTGTGAAGATTTACTAGTAAGCCTCTCTTGACTGCATAGAATGCAATGCTAAAAAAGAAAAAGAAAAAAACTAAAGCTCAATATACTTTGGTACTGCTCTTTCATTTTGCGAATAGTAAGAGTAAAAACTACCAAGATTTAATTTATAAATCTATACCAAGGAATAATCATTGCTTTAAAAAGATCTTCAATTTGGTAGATCAATCATTACTTACGTTGCATTAAAGTTGCTCAAGCCAGGACATAAACGTAACGCGTACAACTTTAAGGGAACGAAGTATGCATTGAAAAAAAATCATAAGATAGAAAATTACACGAAGTAGTTGTAAAAATCACAGAGTTTCTGTTCACGACGGTGACTTGTTGGCGTACGGTATTAGGTTAGGTTCCTCGTAACCTACCTCGTCTCTCTTGTTACGCCTACTATTATACTGTTATTGTTGAAAACTCCATATTAATAAGAAATAAATATATTGTCTCAAAATGAACGTCGTCGCTGGTTCCTTTCAATTTCGTCGAAACTCTTAACGTCAACCTATAACCTCGTCGTCTCACGACTCTTACATAATTAACTCATGAATATGCAACGAAAAATCCGTGATTGTCATTGTTGTTTATACTTGCAAACCTTTCCAACAACCTTCCCAATATTTACCTTTCAACTTTGCCAAAATCATGTAGAACGCAAGTGTACACACATAACCTAACAAACATTTGATACATTTAAAGAAATCTCCAGACGAGAAAATGCGAGCCAGAGAATTTACAGGACGTGTTGGTTCAAAGATGCACGAACGGTTTCAAAGGTAGGTACCGAAGTGGATAGTTATCTATGTGCTTGATCATCACAGCGAAATAAATGCAAGTCATTCGCGTCATCTACGATCACGAGTGTTGTGCTTCACGGCCGAACTTGTATTTGTTTCGTGCGCAGCTACTCGTGTGGTAACCATATACTTAGACATTCTGGTTCACTTATTACCTTATTATCGAGGCACGACCGAATTGCTTGCAATTACAGTGGCATGTAAATACAGACGTGTTCCGCTGTTTGTCTTCCAACAGTAATTGTTTCTTTGCCTCACGTATCCGCGGTTTTTGCCGCCCAAATTCTTGCAAACATGCATATGAAACACTGATGTATATATTACCAAGCATGGGTGGTACGTAGAGTTTTCATTCAGAAGCCGATTTCGAGTAACAAAGAACAATCCTTATCAACGTCCTTAAGCAATGTGTTAGAATAAGCGTCGAGAACGTATGGGAAAATAGTGAGTACGCACGGAGAACCAGTATCAATGCTCATCTTGGATAACGGCGAACTTGTCAACGCACAGGATTCTCTGAAAGCACGTGCAAATGGTAATTTTCACGGTTGACGTGAGCCGACATCAACATTACATTTATTAGTATCTAGTGTCTATTCAATACCTAAGTGACAGTGAGCGAATTCGATGAATTAATTGGCGATTCAGCTTTCCAAATTATGACTGTTCAGTTACATCTCCTCTGCCCCTCTTAATTTATTTATACATCGGGGAATTTATCAGGATTGCGAACTTTCTTCGTGATTTGTTCATATTTTGTCTGTTTTGCCAACGGTTCCTCGATAATTTCAGTAAGTACAACGATTATTTTGTTCTTAAAATATGACTTACATATGTAGTTTAACTGTATGATGTTCTGTTTACTTTATCTACTATCTGTTACTAAGTTTAATTATTTCGTAGGTTATTTTAATGGATGAGGAGGATTGTTGTATGAAAAAAGAAGCTCCTAGCAGCTTCCAATCCAAGAATGTTGGATCTAGTTCTTCATTTATGATCGAAGGTGAAGGTCTGGATTCTCCAGAAAAACATGGAGATCTTGGTGACATGACCTTTTACATGGCAAATTATATTAAAGACGCTATGAAGATGATGTTCATTATGCGTAGTCATCATATGCTTACCGATGTTGTACTAGAAGTGGAATCAGAGTTGTTCTATGCACATAAAATTATTTTAGCTGCAGCTAGTCCATATTTTAAGGTATTTCATCCTTTAAAAACACAAGAGATATATATTAGATTAGCAAAAAATTACATTTCTAAAATATTCCAGGCAATGTTCACGGGGGGCTTGAAAGAATCTGAAATGTCTAGGGTAAAACTTCAAGGTGTTAGTCCAACAACAATGGCACGTTTAATGTATTTTATGTATACTGGTCGTATAAGAGTCACAGAGATTACAGTGTGTTCCCTTTTATCAGCTGCCACCATGTTTCAGGTATATAAAAGATGAGCATATTCTTATAAAGTATACATCACAATGTTTAACAAGTTACTTTCACATCTCTGGTATAGGTTAGTAATGTCATAGACGCGTGTTGTGTATTCTTGGAAAGACAATTAGATCCCACAAATGCTATTGGAATTGCTAATTTTGCTGAACAACATGGTTGTCAAACTTTGTGTCAGAAAGCGAATCAATTTATTGTTCAACATTTTAGTCAAATATGTCAGGAAGAAGAATTCCTACAATTATCGGCAATACAATTGATAGCACTAGTAAGAAAAGATGAACTGAATGTGCAGGAAGAGAGAGAGGTATATAATGCAGTGTTAAAATGGGTTAAATATAACGAAGAAGCCAGGGGACCCAAAATGGAGCATATATTGCATGCAGTAAGATGTCAATATCTTACTCCTAATTTTCTTAGAGAACAGATGAAGAATTGTGACGTTTTGAAAAAAGTACCTGCATGCAGAGAATACCTTGCGCAGATCTTCAAAGATTTGACACTTCATAAAAAGCCGGTGGTGAAAGAAAGAACACCCAATACTCGAAGAGTGATATACATAGCTGGTGGTTTCTTAAAACATTCTTTAGACGTACTAGAGGGGTATAACGTAGATGAAAAAACTTGGACTCAACATGCTAAACTAATTGTGCCAAGATCTGGTTTGGGTGGAGCATTTTTAAAAGGGATGTTTTATGCTGTTGGTGGAAGGAATAATTCGCCAGATAGCAGGTAAGTTTTTTAGAAACGACGATACTAAGGAATTAAACTCAAAATTTTAAAGAATTCCTATGAACTTGCAGATACGATAGTGACTGGGTTGATAGATATAATCCAGTTACAGATCAATGGAGAGCTTGCAGCCCAATGTCTGTCCCAAGGAATAGAGTAGGAGTAGCTGTTATGGATGGATTATTATACGCTGTTGGAGGTAGCGCAGGTGCAGAATATCACAATAGCGTTGAATGTTACGATCCAGATCACGATTCTTGGAGTAACATAAAACCAATGCACATTAAGAGACTGGGAGTTGGAGTAGCTGTAGTTAATAGGTAAAACTTGCGCATTATTTAAATCTTAAGATTTAAATGAAATGTGTCTATATATTGAAATTATAACAGATTACTTTATGCCATTGGTGGATTTGATGGGACAAACCGACTGAACTCCGTGGAGTGTTATCATCCCGAAAATGATGAGTGGACAATGGTTTCATCTATGAAATGTAGTCGATCAGGAGCAGGAGTAGCCAATCTTGGACAATATATATACGTGGTAGGAGGGTATGATGGAACAAGACAATTAAACTCTGTTGAAAGATATGATACGGAAAGAGACATGTGGGAACATGTCAGTAGTGTCACTATTGCTCGTAGTGCGCTTAGTGTTACAGTACTAGATGGAAAATTGTATGCGATGGGTGAGAATCTGAATGTACTTACTTACAAATTGAATCTTATTTGCATTTTTAACCCTATCAATTAATTTTTCTTTGTTTTCTAATTTCAGGAGGATACGACGGTGAACATTTTTTAAATATAGTTGAGATTTACGATCCTGCGAAAGACACCTGGGAACAGGGAGTACCAATGACTTCAGGAAGATCGGGTCATGCAAGTGCGGTATCCTACCACCAATGTCCCATTCATTGCGATCATTTGGACCATAATATGTCTCTAGAAAAGCCACCGTCGTGATACATGTAATTGTCGGGCGTTAAACTTAGATATTAATAAGAAATTCTTAATCTGAGGGCATGAATAAAAGAAGCAAAGGAGAAATAATGGAAATGGTTGTTCAAGCAGTGAATAAGTGACAGACCGATAATTATTTTTGAGTTGTGGTTTAAATTCAGTTCTGGAGATTGAACTTCATTAACATTCTATAATTTTATTGTGGACGATATACGATTAATATACGATATGTATGTGCTTTTATAAAGTAATAGGAATATATACAATGTTATACATATATATGTATATTACTTATATAATATATATATATATTATATATACATATTATTTTAAAATACTTTTATAAATTTTCTTATTTCAATTGCTGTACATTTGTATATATTATTAAAGAAATATGACATATACATATATGTGCGTAGGCATGTATACACATGTAAAATATTTCTAATTCGTGACGATTTTTAATCTTATTAATTATGTACCTAATTATTGTATGTTAAGAAACGTTCAACTGAGAAATACAAATGTTTTGAAAGAATTAAGAAAAACGAAAAAATACATATATATATTTAAAATATCAATATTCTTCTTAATAATAAAAAAAATGAATTAATTAAAATATGATAGAAAATTATTTTTATTTAATTTAGTTGGAGACATAAATTTAATGCATTTATGTCATTTATAGTAATTCACTACCAGTCCGAAAATGTATGTGGGAGTTAAAAAACTGGTTCTGTTGTCAAGATGGACCACACCGATCGATATTTTCGAAAGCAACAAAACGTAGATGAACCGACAATTAAAATCTACCTTTGTACCTTGTATAGCAACAATTACTAAATTCCAAAGATATTCGACAATTTTTCAACAGTTTCATTGTAAATAATACCTCCATTGTGTTTAAAACATTCAGTGTTTACTTGCTAGCGAGGTGATTTTGCAGCGAGGTTATGAACATTGTAATTATTTAATATTTATGTGAATGATAAACGATACATAAGATCATGAGAATAACAAATTCCTTCGCGATAATTTCTATCAACTGTAATGCAACAAAAATTCGATGGACTACGTGAAATTCAACAAAATCCAACGATGAAATCTGTGTATAAATTGTTTTTTCTGTGCCTTATCTTCACTGTACTGATAATACTACTTAATTTAACAAATTTCTCCAATAAAGTCTACGATGCACCCACCAAAGAAACCATTGCTGTTTCTACCACTGTTAAAAAGTTTCAACCACCTTTCATAACAGGAGAAGTGACAATTTGCGTGGTAGTTTGTGGAGATAGAGTAGATGAGGCGTTAACAATGCTCAAGTCTGCCATAGTTTTTACACGTGGATCTTTGCAGTTTGTTATTCTGGCAGAGACCAGTTTAATTCCTGCTTTCAACGAGAAATTGGCAGAATGGAAGCTTCTTTCAAACAAAACTTTTGATTTCGTTGTCAAGCCTATTACATTTCCTGAAGGCAGTGACGTAACTATGTGGAAGAAATTATTCAAACCTTGTGCAGCTCAACGATTATTCCTTCCCGTAATTCCATAAAAATCAAATTAATTAGAAAAAAATAAGGATCATTGCATGTATTAATGTTTCAATACACGGTTCGTTTGTTGCAGTCAGTATTAAATGATATAGATGCTGTTCTTTATGTGGACACAGACACACTATTCTTGGCTCCACCAGAGAAAATTTGGGATGAGTTCAAGAAAATGAATTCTAGCCAACTAGCAGCTTTAAGTCCGGAACATGAAGATCCTAATACAGGATGGTACAACAGATTTGCCAAACATCCTTATTATGGAAAACTGGGTGTGAATTCTGGAGTGATGTTAATGAACCTGACGAGGATGAGAGAATTCAGATGGATAGAGTATGTGATACCAATTCACAAGGAATATAAATTGAAGATAACATGGGGAGATCAAGATATAATAAACATTATATTCCATTACCATCCTGAAAAGCTGTATGTCTACTCTTGTAGATACAATTATAGGCCCGATCATTGCATGTATATGCCTGTCTGTACAAAGGCAGAGAAAGAAGGTGCTTTGGTTTTACATGGTTCTAGAGGCACTTTCCATTCTCAAAAGCAACCTCCTTTTAAGGCAATTTATAGAGCCATGCAAGAATATCAGTTGAATACAGATCCCTATGATTATTTATTGGTGCCAATGAGAAACTATTTAGCCTTGGAGCATAAGTCAAATTGTGGCAAAGTGTGGAAAGTATTTATTATCCAGCCTGAGTTGCACTTAGGACAACAATAATATTTAAACGTATTTTCTAATATACAAAGAAAAAACATAATCATTGTAGTACTTCCTCTTCAACCTGCCATTAAAACAAAATGGACTGCTACACGATATTTAAAACACAATACAGTATGAACAATTCTATCCATATGTAGGCTCACTATGTTCCATAGTGCATCCTGATTTTATTTGTTAACAAGTGCGCTGTGATTGTTACTATTTAACATAAAAATGAAAAACAGGACCATGTTATTATAATTATTAGCTAAGATGATTTCAATAATACTCTTTGAATGTAGCTTTAGATAAAATTTGTAGAATTACTTTGTATACTTAAAACTTGACGTACTAAGTCACTTCTACAAAATGTTTACTATCATTAAGTGAAACGTATATTGTTCAAAAATGTTTTTACAAAAATTGTACGCGACCACGTTACAAAATACTTTTGTATACTTCGTTATTTTGTTATTCTGTAATATATGTTCTTGTGATACTTTTTTTACATGAAATAAAAAGAATCGTTCAAACCTAACAGAGTGCCGTTCTACCAATAAACGAAGTCACGATAACACGCGCTATAGTAGTCTGAAGAGAGGGGGTCATTACGTTGAAAGGGTCCCGAATAAGGGAGCTGTAGTGCGGAGATACGCTCTTACGAGTTACGATCACTCGCGTGAAATTGTGTTACTAAGTAATCCTAATATTGTGTTTTCTTCCTTCTTCCATTGGGAAGTTCAACAATTGTTCAACTTACTTGGAAGATCTCGGTGTGAGATCAACCATGTACAAGAAGCCTTAAAACGAGGAGGAGGAAGATGGTATCTACGATCTGCGATGAGGCACGATGTGTAACCAATGAATTAGCGTCCTGATAACAATCACATGGGCGTTATTAAAACTGATAAGAATAAATTATAGATCAGTAAAAGGTAAATCGAGAGATAGTACACGTCAGACATGGAGAGTTTTGATGTTTCTTTTCCATGCTAATTTCCATTTACGTCCGCACGGTAACGTCGTTCTCTACTCGGTCCCAGAGCAAAGGTAAGAGGATCTAGCGGTTGTTTGAAGAAGAATACATATTCATCTTTGATCTTTCATGCGTGAAACATGAGACACAAACTACAGCGAGTAACATTTGAATGAAATTAATAACTGTAAGAATTGCAATACGAGTTAATTCGTTAAATCAGCACAATACGACCTTCCAGTGGTTCTCTTCTCTGATAGATCAGTTTCACTATTATTACATTTTTAGTATATTATTCTCTCTTATTACTTTGAACTTATGATCCAAATCTAACTGTTTTGAAGTTTAAAAGTTATTACATGAATTGTCTTATTTTAATCGATAAAATTTTTATTGATACCTGTATTGGATCGTAGGTGAAATAATTACGTTATCGAAATGAAATTTTCGCTCACCTGAATATTTGTTAAAATATTTTTCTTGCTTGGCATTAATCGCATTTGAATGATCTCATTAAACAGCTTTAGATATTCCATTTTTTTCCATTGTTTTCTAATTCATTTATCTCTTTATTTTCATTATCTCGAACGTACATACATACATATTATAACGTAAGTAGGCTTCCTGAAAACATATCAGTAATCAGAAAAAAACACTTGACGATTTCAATAATTTAGACAAATTGAAATAACTTGGAGGAGAATTCAAAAATTAAACGATAAAAAGAATGGAGTAACGCATAAACTAATAAAGCATAAGTGGAAAAATCTAAGAATAAATAATAATTAAAATACTGAGAAATCTGCATTGAACTTTATATAATGATTTATAAGTAAATTTGATAAGTAAAAGTACGATGTAAAAAAAATATCGCTGTGAGGAAAAAAATACAGGTTTGAGATTCGTTATCCACTTACGAGACATTCAATTAACAATAAGTCAAAACTAAAATTAAGGCAGAAAATCCTGTTCTTATTCCGCAGAGGTAAGCATGCCGCTGTTCAAAACGCATCCCGCCCCCAAGTCCCCTACGTCGGAGAAGGTTCTAAATGGTAGGTCTCATTGCCATAATCATCATAATCACCGAAACGGCAACGAGAATGATCAAAAAGAATCTGAAGGGACATACAACCAGCAACAGAATGGTAATCTAGAGCAACGACGAAGACTGCATAGATCTCCTCCGGTCTTTCATTGTCAACTGGCTCATGGAAGTCCTACAGGATTGATATCGGGATTCAACAATGTGCGAGAACTTTATCAGAAAATAGCTGATTGCTATGATATATCAATGGAAGAAGTGAGTCTCCTATTATTTAATTTCTATTAACTCCTATCAATTGATCAATAGAAATAATTTATCTGACATTTTTAGAATTGTTTAGAAAAGAAAATATATCTATAGTTCTGTATTTTGTTGCTTCTATTTATTATGTAATTAATTACGGGGATTATTTAAGAATTAGTTCTTGCGATGATAGAACAGCAATTACAATGGACAAATCGAGTTCTATAAACATTTAATTATTTGAAAACTTTTTAAATTTATAGTAAAAAAAAGAAATAGTTGCAAAATTCTTCCTACGATTTATTTACTCAGTTGTAGTACACAAAATAGCGTCGTTCGTCATAGGGTGAATATCCCGGATACAGGAAACATCGGTTCCGGGCTGTGGCCTCTGGCCGATCTGGCGTATACTAGAGCTAAGTGCAGCTTTCCGTGTAATAACAGAGAGTAAAAGGTAGTAGAGCATTTGCTAGCCAAGCTGTATATGTAATATCGTTTAAATCGGAGACAGTATTGGACTGGCTTCTGTAATACCGTTTAAGAACTCTGGTGAAAGTTGACTTGCGGTTAATTGTATTTAAGACATTTTAATTTGCGGAATTTCTTAGCACAATGCAAAGATGATAAAGACTATAACGACATAGATGACGCGATAATGGGATTTAGATTTTCAATAGAAATCAGTATCAAAAATGACCTTTATTCGAAATAAAGTAATCTAATTTTTTTAAAATCCTTTATTATTATTTCATTGTTTTCTAAATCTTTTCCAAATGTAAATGTGAAAAGAACTGACATAGGAAAAACCAATATAATGGAAGAGAGAGTTTGATGACTTTGAATAACTATCTTTGACCCTAGATATATCTTTAAAATAAGATGTGATATACAAAGATTATTTTTTATTCTTGATTATTCCAGATTCTTTTCTGCACTCTGAATACTCATAAAATTGATATGAATGAGTTATTAGGAAGTCAGATAGGAGTAGGCGATTTCATATTTGCACACAAAAAAGGTAAAACTATAAATTTTGTATCGTTTTATATTTTGAACATTATGTTTTGTTGGACCTTCCTTCAATTATTACTAATTTGCTCCTTTTTAGGAAGACCTAAAGAGATAGAACTGGTGAAAACGAACGAGTCCCTCGGATTAACTATAACTGACAATGGTGCTGGCTGCGCCTTCATAAAACGAATCAAAGAAGGCTCGACAATCGACAAGATAAAAGTAATCGAGGTTGGAGATCATTTGGAGAAGATCAACTCAACTAGTCTAATTGGCAAGCGTCATTTTGAAGTAGCAAAAATGTTAAAAGAGATTCCTATGGGTGAAACATTTACCTTGAGACTTGTAGAACCATTGAAAAATGGTTTTGCTAACATTGGTCCACGAGGAGATATGAGAAAAGGGAAGAAATCCGGTTATGGAACTGGAAAGGAAACGCTCAGGTTCAAAGCTGATGGAAGTGCCCAGATTATACAAGAAGTAATTAATTACCTTTTGTAAAAAGGAAGATGAACTATAATAGAGATTCTTGTAAAAAAAATTCATTTTTTCTCTTGTTGTTGACTACCAGGTGGATAATACCGCAACCATAGGTATAGAAAAGATCAATGTGATTCTGGAGAGTTTCATGGGCATCTACGACACAGAATTAGGTACAATAAAATCATCCAATAGTGTATATAAAAAATTTACAAATGCAATTACAAAGTTTGATACATTTGTTGAATTCTTCTTTCAAATAGCTACGCAAATTTGGGAGCTTGCAGAGGACAAGCGTAACAGCAGTGAATTTGCAGAAGCAATTGACAATTCGGATTTAGAGGCTTTTGGATTCACAGATGACTTCGTTATTGAGTTATGGGGTGCCGTGACTGATGCCAGGGCTGGAAGACATCGATAATGCCGCCGATTATATGGCAACTAATAGGACCAAATGAAGAAAGGACCAAGAAGAACCATTATGAGCTTAAAATTTGTGCTATAGAAATGTGGTATTCAATAATTCAACTGTAAATTATTTGTAGGAATTAGTATTTTGAATTTGTACAATTTATATTATAAATTTATACATATCTAAAATTATACAAAATAAAAATAAAAAAATATATTTGAAAGAATTATAGACATCTATTATCATAAAAATATACCAAAAAATATAAAAATTTGATTAAATATTTGTTAATTATTATAACAAATAATATAAAGATATAACAATTAGAGAGAAAATAACAGAGAGTTTTTCAAACTCTTGCTTTAAAAAATCATTACAAAATTATTTGACTTATTGACAATGATATATGCATGACTAATCGTTTCCTTTAGAGATACAGAATACTTTATTTCGTTTAAATTTAAATCTTGGTACATTTTTCTTATTAATAAAGATCGAAGAATAAATAAAAATCGACCAATGAGAATCAAAGGAACTGTTATCTATGAAGTTAGTATCAGCGCTGATTGCTGACTGAACGTTTTAACGTTTTAATATTTAACCTACAACGAAAATTTTTGCCACGAAAATGGTTTTTGCCATAACTAGGGCCAGTTGTATATTTTTTCGTACTAACACGAGATCTAAAAATAATTATAAATATCTTAAATTGTCAAGGGTACGTAATATTAATATAAAAATATACCGACTAACCTATCTTCTTATTAGTAAATGATTTGTTATCTATTATGTGTACTATTAATTGTATTCTTTATTAAGTAAATTTTATATCTTTATCATAAATTTTAGATTTATCGAATTTTTTAATTTATATATATAGAATAACGAAAAATACGCAATAAAAAAAGATTTAGATAATTGTCATATTTACTATACTGTTCTTTAGTAAATTAAATAAACATGGAATGAAACTACTCTTTGCTAGATATGCGCAGTGAATTTTTCCATAAAAACCGACATCCCTCAGCCAGAAGAAGAGGCCCCAAAGTTAAAATCACCAATAGGAAATGGAAAGGTGTTCAAGACTGTAGACGAAGCTATATCAGACATGCCAGATGGTGCTAAACTTCTGGTTGGTGGATTTGGACTTTGTGGCATTCCTGAAAACTTAATTGCGGCTGTATTAAAACGAGGTTCCAAAGATCTAACTGTTGTTTCAAATAATGCAGGGGTTGAAGACTTTGGATTAGGTATACTTTTGAAGGAATGTAGGATTAAAAGAATGATTGCGTCCTACGTTGGTGAAAACCCTGAATTTGAGAAACAGTACCTCAGTGGTAAATTAGAGGTTGAATTAACACCGCAGGTAAACTAAAAAACTTTCAATTAAATTACAGAACATTGAAGAAAAATTTCACAGTAACACTTTTTTATACATATACAGGGTACATTAGCAGAACGTATTCGAGCAGGAGGTGCTGGTATTCCAGCGTTTTACACTCCTACAGCATATGGAACAATAGTTCAAGAAGGTAACATCATCGTAAAATATGATGAAAAGGGAAATCCAGAGATATCTGGTGAACCAAGGAATGTGGCACAATTCGGTGGAAGGAACTACGTCATGGAAACTGCCATAACAGGAGATTTTGCTCTCGTGAAGGCTTGGAAAGCAGACAAAGCTGGCAATTTAATTTTTAGAAAATCAGCCAGGAATTTCAATCCGGTGATGTGCAAAGCAGCTAAAATCACTATTGTGGAAGTAGAAGAAATTGTAGAAACTGGTCAACTGGATCCTGATCACGTTCATTTGCCAGGAATTTTTGTGGACAGGATTGTCAAAGGTTCTTCGTATGAAAAACGCGTGGAGGTTCATATGCCTTTGTCAAATTAAATATTTCAATATCTTAGAGGATTATTAAAACGTTCGCTTCTTTTGTATTAGAAACGGTATACGAAGCAAAATGTGAAGCCCAGAAAAGTGACACCAGCAAGCAAAGCAAGGGACAGAATCATTAGACGAGCCGCCTTCGAATTCAAAGACGGAATGTACGGTAAGAAATTCAAAAACAAATACATCGAATTAAACAATTTTCTACTAAATAAACTTTCTATAGCTAATTTGGGAATCGGCATACCCATGCTGGCTTGCAATTACATTCCGAAGAATGTGAAAGTGACACTGCAGTCCGAAAATGGTATCCTTGGTATGGGTCCATTCCCGGACGAGTCAGAACTCGATCCGGACTTGATAAATGCTGGAAAAGAAACAGTCACGATCCTTCCTGGAGGCTCTTTCTTTAGCAGCGACGAAAGCTTTGCAATGATTCGAGGGTACTTACAGGAGACTGAATATTTAATTGTTTTTACTGTTAGTGGAAGATCGTACATTTGAACCTTTTTTCAGAGGTCACATCAATTTGACGATGCTTGGTGCTATGCAAGTTTCAGAGAATGGAGATCTAGCTAACTGGATGATACCCGGAACTATGGTGAAAGGAATGGGTGGTGCAATGGATTTAGTTTCTGCAGAAAGTACAAGAGTGGTAGTTACCATGGAGCATAAAGCTAGAGACGGAAGTCCGAAGATTTTGAAAAATTGTACTTTACCTGTTACAGGTAATTTTCCTCATTGGAATATTTCGTAAGACAGACACGGTTACGCGTATTTTAATTCCAGGTCAACAATGTGTGGACTTAATAATCACAGACATGGCAGTATTTGAAATAGTTCACGGAGAAGGATTGAAATTAATTGAAATCGCGCCAAACATTGACATCAGTGACGTTGTTAGTTCTACGGGTTGCGAATTCTCAGTAGCTGATGATCTTCAAGAAATGAAACAAGTAGATTCGGAGGACTGTCAGTAACTTTCTTTAAATATCAACAAAGTCACGCAAATTTTCTTCGCCTAAATTCTGATAAAAAGAATGAAAATGAGTTACGATCATTATTTTCTAATTATAAAATTACAAAGTCGTCTTTATCTCTAAAAATTGTGATGTGTTAATTATAAATGTAATATAATTGTAAATGTAAAGTATTTATACTGCATAAGTACTTTATGCAACACAGTAGCTAGGTTCTAACAAAGGTAATATAGTTTTGTAATATATATTCATTTATACATTGGTTTTTAAATATAAGCGCTGCTATCGAAATCTAGTGTTTTATCTAAACTTTCTTGTTTTTAGTTTCTATCGAACTTATTCTCTGAATTTGGCTTTTACTTTCGCTGGAAGTGGTAACAGGTACAGAACACTGTTAAATATGCTCAGTCCAACAGCAAAAGCTAAAGAAATTAACAAGTTTAGATCAACGTTCAATACTTCTGATATATTCTCGCCTTCACGTGTAAACCGTTCTATTAAATAAGCTCTCCCATCTGGGTATCTGCACAACTCTGGTATTCCAGGACACGCGAAACTTTCATTGTAATGCAAATTTAAAAACGCAGGTACATCAATGGCCAATTGATTCAAAGCCAATGATGCGTACCTGGCAGGTAATGCAGTGGAAACTGCAGCAAGCCAATAAGGCAGACCTTTCAGACTTCTGATAGCTCCGGATCCAATTATCAAAAACACCAAGGTCATGTATAACACAGTTATTGCACCGGTGATAGGTCTACCAACTACCATGAGCACTGCAACGGTTATTTGCTCTGCTGCCACATAGCTAGCCCATAAAACACCACAGGCATAAGCCCAGGTAGATAAATGTAGCTCTAAAATAGGTGCCAGAATGCCAATAGTGATCATGGTGGATATAAAACTCAATGGCAAGCTCAGCAATGCGTACGCAGTCAAGAACATTGCTCCACCATAGAGACCTTCTCTTTTCTCTTGGTAATATCTGGCCCTATAGCCTGGAACTTGACAATTAACAAATGTTATGTAATGCTGATATGTCAAGTTGCGCGAAAAGATAAAAAAGATTAGTCTACATGCACTTACAAAGGAGAGCTGTGCACGCTATTCCAGCAACGTAGAACAGAGTCACTACATTGAAGACTAGACCGCCTGTTTGCAAAAATATTCTGGATTGCACAGGGGTTGAATGCGAATAGAGGATACTCATCAGAGCTATGGAAAACGGTAGCAATAATAGTCTGGCAGTAAAGTGCCCCAAGCCAGATTTATTGAAGGCAAATGTTGCTGCCATACCTCTCCTAAAACGTAAAGATTACATCAATTGTTTCAGAGAAGAGCCATACGTTTCTAAAAATACATACAAATATAGAGCGAACAGAGTGGAGAAACATCCTGGTTTGATTCCACGCCCTAACCCTTTGTGCATAATTCCTAGAGGCGTATCTTTGATATTGGGCAGCACTTGGGGCGCCTCTTTCATGTAAATAACGCCCTCGGCCTTGAATTTTTCAACCAGAACAGATATCTGCTGATTCGATTCTAAGAAACGATCTCTCGAGCGACGGTCGACGGTTGACAAACACACTAAACCCGCCATATTATTACAACTTGATTGAGCAATTACCTAATTACTGCATCCACATGTACTTACGGTAATACATCAGAGGATTTTCGAGTTCAGGACACGGAAAACCGATATAAGTGAAATAGTCCAACATACTTCTGGTCGGTCCGGAATAAACCACTGCTCCCAGACATAAAAGAGTCACGCGACTCACGAAAGGCAACACGTCTGATCTAGGAGTTTCCATCGTCAGGACAACGATGGAACCTCTCCTGGTTGCGTAAGACCAGAGCATAGAAACGATCAAATACGTATTTAACGGATCAGTGTCCCAAGTGGGCTCGTCCAAAAGTAACAACGTAGGATCTTTAGCCAACTGTACTCCCAGCATGAGTCTTCTGTATTCCGGCTTCGTCAGATCGTTCACCGGCCTATTTGCAACCTGAGACAGAGCCAGATCGGCCAAAGTTTGTCGAACTCTGGCCTCCCTGTTGCTCAAATTGGCAAGCCACGTGGCATAGGTCAGTGTCTGTCGAACTGTTAGACTGGGTAACAAATGACACCTGTGAGCAACGTATCCGCCATGTCGTCTAAACAATTCTGGCGTTAATAAATTGTTGTTTAGGACGACTCTGCCCCTGGTTTCTCCCTCCGCCCTTCCCGCTGAAAGACAAGAGACTTCCAGATGATTTCTATCGTCCAATTAACGGTATCTAAGCCTAGATCATTATCTTACCAATAACGTCAAGCAAAGCTCTCTTTCCAGATCCTTTCGAGCCCAAGATCGCTAATACCTCGCCACCATGAACTCGAGCAGACACGTCTCTCAACACGGCAGTGGGCTCCGACTTGCTCAAACAACTTCCTTCAATAACCACAGCAGTGGAATGAAACACATTGGTGATATCAAGGGTACAGTCCGATGGAATCATCCTAAATCCCTCTGGATTATCTCATAACGAGCTTTTTAGAGAAGACTAGATCTTAGTTCCTGTTTAACTTAAAGGTGAATTATAAATTTCGAAAACGAAGTTGTATTGAAACGAAAAAAAAAAAAAAAACAATTGGGTTCTTCCAATAAAATAGTATTTGGTCGCAGCGATTGCACTCCAAAAAAACACACAGAATGGAGAAAACAACGTACAGACCATAGCACAGCGGCTAGAGAAGTGAACATCACATATAAAACGTAGCCATCGGTAACGATACCTGGCTGGGAGTTGGCTTCATGAGGTGAATGTCTTCTTTGAGAGGAGTTTGGTGGGAGGAAGGTAGCATCAGTGGTAGCACAAGGGTGTACTCACTGACTCCGATCCCCAGTTCTTTCCTTAGTGTTTAGAATTACACAGAAAACAGGAAGATCCTTCCAAATGATACCAGCTTCAACTAGTAATTTTTCACAAACATTCGTAACGTTATCTACAAGATTTTGTCCCGTTTTGAGATACATTAAAACGCTTTCTGATGATGGTAAATCAACTTTGAATGCTTTGTAGATACTAATAAGGATGGGACGAGATTAAAGATCAACAATGCGACAGAAATAATACTCAATAAGTTATAAATTGATTGACACAATCGGAAATCAAGGGCCAGATTTTTAGTAGATACGTCATTGAGAATTTGAAAGACCAGCAAGGAAGGAAGGGAATGTAGAGAGGGGGTTCCGTTGGAGGTTCGGAAGGTACGTCTGTCAGAAGGCAGCGTTTAGAAAAGGCTCCTCGGCGTTGGACATACCGATGCCACTGCGGTATCGCAATCGCGGATCGGGTGATGCGTTCGCGGTTCCCGTCGTGCGATTCCTTCGCTGACGGACACGGTGTTTGCTCTCGAAATTCCATTCGAAGTTATCAGGGAAAACCAAGAAGACAACCAAATCAAACGAAGAAGAAGAAGAAGAAGACCGGGAGGAATCGACGGAATGGAGGAGCAGCATCACCTTGACTCGACCAGCTCATCCTGAATACCGGTGGTGAGTCATTGTCATGAAGACTCCCGGGAATGTATAAAGTTTCGTGGCACGCGCAATTCCCGACGTTCACGTGATTGCCTCCTTCCTCCTGCACGTGAATACTACTTTTAACGAAAAGATCATTAGACTATAGTTCGTTTGTTTTTTTCTACTTCGAGTAATTGAGAGAAATTAGCAGAGACTCGTGATTCATAGGGTAGTTGCAAAACATTTTTTTACTCGAGTTCTCCGACGGAGATGCCATCACAGCAGAGGAAAGATCTTGATCGAATTCTTGTCAGCCAGAAAAAAAGGGGAAAACTGAAGGAAACGGCTGATATATTATACCATGGCCAGTTATGGTTCAACAACTGAGAACCTGATTTTGCATAATGAGAGAGTAATGGTACCGGTGAAAGCATACGTGAGATTGGGAATTATTTTCCTTACAAATACACGTTACTTGCCAATTTTTTTGATAAATTAATCGCTTATGAAACATAAACGGGAGAAGAGGGGAGGAGAAAGAGAAGAGATTCTGACTGGCGAAGAAAAAGAAGTCAACAAGCGTGGTTAATATTCCGTGGTCACACTTTCCTGCTGATGATTTTCATTTCACTGATGCTTTCACTAGCTTGATAATCGTTTAAGTAACGACATAACAAATTAATTATTGTTACTCATCACGTTCATGTCGTTAGACGAATTTTTTTATTGATTTATCATTATTTAATGGTTGCCAAAAGATTGAAAACAGATTTGATTTCGAGGTGAATGCAGTTTATCGAAAGTTTTAAGAAACAGAAATGGTAATGGGAAAGACTTGCGTGAGGAAGACTGTTAGGAGATTTCGATGAGCGCATACGACACCTGTACTTCAACGTACTATGGACGACGCTCGGATGATTTGCAATGTTAATCAACTCTTTCTCACAGCAGACGGACGTACCCCCATGGAATATTAAAAAAACACAACAGCACTGACCTCGGTGCAAGCCTTCTTAAAGCATTCCTTACCCTACCGCGTGGTTCCAATGGTGGAACGAATACAAATCATCGAGTCCCACAGAAGTAAACATAAAACACATCATTATTTCTTGGACCATCTACTTTTTAAACTTTAAACTTATACATAAATTCAAGGAATAAAATTTCTGGAAGAATCAATTCCCGAATCAATGATAAGAGAATAAATTAAAAAAATTTTTGAACCGTTTTTTCAAAAACAATTTCCTAGTTATAATAATGTTATAATTGTACAGAGAATATTTTATGCTGTAGAAAAAGTATACCCAACCAGCAGAATCAGAAAAGCCATGCTGGTACTTTTATCGTTTCTCGTGACATTAGTGTCAAGGTTCATTCCCCGATCGGTGCACTAATTCACCCGATGATTTGGTGGACTTTCCACAGTCTCTTGCACGTGGTATCCAGGCCACGCTTTATTAAAACACACTCTCTGTCACGTGCATGTTCATAGAAATCGGTGCGTGGGATAATCTCACAGCCAGCGGAAGAGATTTCGAAACTGGAGTATCGCTTCCCTAAATTATCCAAGCTATTGGAAACAAATATACCAACTACTGGAAAACTATTGGAAAACGTTCCTGTACCTCAGGAAGAGTGTCTATGTCAATTACACATGCCATTGGAGAACAAATATACCAATCTAATGCCATCAAGAACAAGAAATTGTTTTTATAAAAAATTAAATATTAATTAAAAAAGATAAAAAAGCAAACAATCAACTCCAATAGTTGGAAAAGAAGAAATCATTTCTGCTAGATATCGGGTAACGAGGAAATAATCAATCCTTCTTCATAAAACGCTGCTTTTCTCGAGTTTCGTCATAATAAGTTATTAGCCCAGTCTCTCGTAGTCTATGAGAACAAAAGCAGTGACAAGAAGTGGCGGTGCACTCATCTAGAAAAAAAGAATGGAGAAGAAAATGAAGAAGTAGAAGCAAAGAAGAATGTTATCACGTCATCAAGTTACATGCACGCTCGTGATAGTTAATCCATTTAACGTGGAGTCGCTCCACTGGCACACAACTATCACTTTTCATCACGAAAGTCTGATGCCCAGTGAATTGAAAAGTAAAATTTGCATGCACATAGTTCAGTGGTTGACGATGAGAAGTTACCGAACCGTCGAACGTGTATTAATTAAATATCACCTTCCACAGAAAACTATGCTCCACTGAACCTATGATATGTTGATGCTTTTCAGGAAATCTAGCCAAAAACTTTTACGCGTCGAGGAAACAGGGGGTAGGAAAAAAAAAAATATGGTGGCCAGTTCGATACAGCTGTTGCAGAAACGGGATATGCAAATGAACAGTTAACTCGAATGCAAGATAGTTATCAGACACTAAAAAAGAAGAGCTTATACGCGACGTTACGTAAATCATAGGGAAACATTACCGGTCGATGATCGCAACTTACTGAATTATTATACATTAAGCGAGGAGAAATCTGCATGTACATACGTGAAATCGTCGCAGAATTTGTGACTGAAGATGATAATAGAAATGACAAGCTCCAAATGACTGTTTCATACGGATTTCGTACATACTTTTCTTTTAAGATACAAAACTGAACGTTACATAATCCTATTTTAGAAAAAAATAGTTGATGAGATTATGGAAGCACTTGGAAATTCATTTTGATTTATGGAAATCAAATGTGAATTTGATTATTTCGAAGGATTTTGTAGCTAAATGATGAAGCAGTGCAGCTGAACGACTACCGAGAGCGACGATTAACTGTGGAAATATCGTAGAATCTTGGATACCTACGGGCATACCGTTATTCGATGACAAGTAAAAATCTCAACAATGTCGAAGAAACGGAGGGAACAGTTTCACGGGTAAAGAGAAGATCCATTACCGAATAACAATCATCAGTTAGCTTCTCAACGACGGTTTTCAAAATTTATCAGGAAGGAATTCTCTTCTCTTGGAAATACCTGCAAAGAAAATAAACTAGCTATAAGAAGTAAAAGACTAGAGAAATGTCCTTTGTTTGAGGAAGCTGCTCAAAAGACGTTCGGTTTCGTGCAAATATACGGCAAGTAAGTCAACATCTAACGGGAAACTGCTTGGGAGTCGAGAAAAAAATGTCCGCATCTGACGTGGTGCAGCGCTGTTGCATGGACCACCCGATATAAAAAAAAGAACATTACCTCAGACTGTTATTTGCTATTCTATTGCACTCGTTAATCGATCCTTCGTGATTTACTACGTTCTGTTGATTCATTAACGCATTTAAAATACTGTTGCCATTCCCTCTGATTCATAATTCATGTTCTTTCAGATGTTTATAACTTGAAAAATTATAAATGGAAAAAGTAGACTGATGCAGCAAGAAATAAGGTATCATTTTATCAATTTTAAATCAAACAGTAATATGAACAATTATTGTTCCACTATTTTTGATTTAATATTTATAATAAATATTATAAATCTTGAGTATTTTCATTTTATGTATCTGTTTATACTCAATTTATTGATTTTAAATAAAAATCAACGATACACCAATTGCAATTTGAAATATTTCAAGCCAAGATTCGTGGCATGTGCAATTACAAGCAGAAATTTTAATTAAAATATGCTAACGAATATTTATTTATAATAAATAAAAAATATTCAAGGACTTTTTATTTCTGGTATAATTGTTCAAGTTCGAGAATGCTGTACACGTTTCCAACTTTATCACCGTTAAGAGGAATGCCGCGGTAAGCTATTCTCGACTACGTGTGCTCGCACAGCAAGCATAATTACGCGAATGTATAAAAGTAAATGGAAACCTGCGTGTACTCATTGTGAATACGAAGTGACACATCCTCGTGAAATCGGCACTAGTCGTTCCATAGATATTCAACGAGTTTGCTTTATGATGCGGCGTTCCGAGGTCAAAACCAGCACGTGCGTCACTCCATCTGAAAGAAAATTTGTGAGAGAGGGAATTAATGTATTATTGAATTCACAATGTTTTAATTATCTCTACAGAAAAACAACTGGATGAATTTAAGATTAATTTGATAACGGTTTGATGGTAAGAGCGTGTAACGATGTCTAAAATGGAAAAAAAAGTAAGGCGATTAACGGTCAGATGTGCGTAACAGCCGCAAGAGTGATAATTTTGTGTGATCTGGCACCGAAATGAGATTCAATAGATATTGAATAGCATTTGAATAATATATCTGATGAATTATTATTAGCCTCACAAATAACTGCCGTAATTCCACTTGTTGCAACAAAATTAAATAATTAATTTATATAAAAGTTACAAGACAGTTATTATTCATTGTTATTAAACATGCTTCAAAATTAATAAAATATTAATTATAAATATAAAATATTAATTTTGATAAAAAAATTTAACTAAAGAAATTTAACTAAAAAAAAAAAAAAAAAAAGAAGTAACAATTACCGAGTGCAATAAATATGATTGTGATCAATAGAATTCCTGTCAGCCGTTTTGGTATGGATTTCAGTTCCTTTCCTTTCACAGTGTAGTACCGGGCACTGAGGGCCAAGAGGTGAACAATTTCGAGCCTTCAGTGGCGAGTAATTTCAAAGGTACGCCGATTATTCGCGCGGTGTGCACGCATGGAATGACGTAACCGACTCTGTTCAAATGCATTTATTATTATTCATGTGGAACAATTCATACGTTATATTTCCTATATTAAATGTCCTGTTATTTATTAAAATACTTCAATTTACAGTTCCACTGAAATGTTTCTTTCAATTATCTATCTGCTTTCTCTATCATCACCTAAGCAATAAATAAATTTTAGTCCGTGACCAATTAATAAATAAAAGATCTTTAATTACAGTAGTTTATGTTACGAATCTGAGAAAATTCCAAATTCTTTCATATGAACCATGGAACAATAGACTAACTACTACAAGACTAACTATAGATAGTAACTACATATAAGACTAACTATAGAACTAAATTACAAGACAAAATTAAAACTATAGAACTAAACTATGAGACAAAATTATAACTATAGAACTAAACTACAAGAAAAAATTATAAAACCGGAGTTGCGAACATAACGCAATCCATCGTGCGTTTCATCCAGTCTCGCTTGAACTGTTCAGACACCATAAAGCATGGGCTCGGAAGCGTGGGAGCTAGAACGAAGGTACTCAGTGCCTGGAGCATTGGATACTAGAGGCTTAGAGGCCCCGGCTAGCGAGGATCTTCACGCTTGGTCCATCTATAGGTGATTACTCTTTAATTCTAAAAAAAAATGCCACAATTAATATATTATACTTTCAGGCAAAATTTGAACTCCGACTTCACCGATTCGGCGCTTGGATCAGCAGAAAAATCCCCTCTTCCCTATGGGAACTTCCAATTAAGAGATTCCACAGTGCAGAGCATTCTAAGGCATCCTAGATATGGGCCAAAAAGTCCTCTGGCTAGCAATTCGTATACGTATTTAAAATTTGGTCTCCCGAGGGTACTTCCTCCTAGCTCTAGGAATCGAGACGGATCTAGCGGTTATGACTCTAGCGAAGAAGGTCGCAGAGTGTCCCATGCAGGAACATCCGCGCATGGGACTTCCGCTATGAGGTCTGCCAGGAGCGACCCTGACTTTAGACACGTTCACGCTGTTCCAAGAGAACATGCGCATTCCCAATTGACTGTTTCGAGGGAGAATCCTAAGTTGAGGAGTGCCAGTGAGGCAAATCTTCTTCACGGAGTTATTCGAACGAATAGGAGGCACAGTATTGCGCCTATAGATCCCGGGTACGGTGTCCACGAGCCTAGAGGTAAGTATTTCTTAACTTCTAGATTAGCTATTATATAATTAAGAGAGCAAATTGATTTTTAGGGCATGGAATGCTGGGTCCAGAAAGCTACACATTACCTCTGAGGCCCGTGCCCTGTCTCCAACATCCTCATCTTCAGTTACGAGGTGTAGAGGCTTCAGGATCCGATGGTCTGCCTCTTCTGCGAGGGATCACTTTGGAGGCAGGTGCCAGCGAGGTGTTGGCTATTATGGCTACTACGGAGAAAGAAGGAAAACAGATCGTGGAAACGATCGCCGGAAGGAAAAGAATCAAGAGAGGAGATATTTTGCTCAATGGGAGATCAGTGTCCTATAGAATCTTAAGGTATAATTACATATTTGTCTGATCATTATCTGGAACCATAAATTGTAAACTTGGGTTCATCTTTCAGGTCTCGAGTTGCTTATTTGTCCACGGAGAATAGTTTAAGTCCAGGCTTAACCGCTCAACAGACACTGAGCTTTTATATGCTTCTTAGAGGAGGTCCGAACACGTCCAAACTGGAAGCCGATGCAATTCTCCAGGAACTCGGCCTGGAAGCAACGAAACATTGTCTTGTGAATTCGTTGACGACTTCTGAAGCAAGAAGACTTGCCCTGGCGTGTCGTTTGTTACAAGACTCGCATATCCTTGCTCTAGACAGGCCAACGCACGGCTTGGACATTTTCGACGCGTTCTTCTTGGTGGAATATTTGAGACAGTGGGCTAGTAGAGGTCAACGATTAGTAGTACTGACTTTGCACCCACCTACTTACGAGATATTAACGATGGTCTCTAGAGTGGCGCTCACTTCCGGTGGAAGAATCATGTACTCCGGTCCTAGGAGGGATATGTTGCCATACTTCGCTCTTGCAGAATTCCCATGTCCTCCATTTAAGAATCCCTCTGACTATTATCGTACGTGATTCTAATACCAACATTCCATTATCCATAAGATTATTCTCTGAAATTTATAACAATTTTCTCTTTCTTCAGTTGATTTAGTTACGCTGGATGATCTGTCTGCGGAAGCCATGTTGGAATCCTCACAGAGGATAGATCACTTAGCCGAGCTTGCAAGGACCAGGTTACCAGCACTAAGCGATCCTGGACCACCTGGAGCACTTCCTCCTTCCATTTCCAGTCCCAACATATTCTCACAAATCTATGCGTTACTTCTGAGGACTTTAATCTACAGTCAACCGTGGACGTTGACCAGATTACTTAGGAAAATCGTCATCTCTGCTTCCTTGAGTATTTTACTTGGTGCAATATTTTGGGATGTAGCTGGTGACTCGAATTTACACCTCAGAGACCGAGTCGGCTTTCATTACGCTACCTTAGGAATTTTCTTCTGGCCGCTGACCCTGATAGCCATCTGCGAAGTAGCTGACAGCAGGCCAAATGTGGAAAGAGATATCAAAGATGGTTTATATGGGAGATTTGTATATATTTTACTGGAGGTGAGTATTCAAAGTAGCGCGTGATCGTTCGTTTCACTTAATGGATTTACCTTTCAGCTCCTCTGTGGAATAATATCTTGGTGCATAGTCTATCTGATTTATTTGGCACCAAGCTATGCCATGTCGGGATTTCACTTGGTGCCAGATGAGAATCTGACTTCCCTGTGGAATTATCTCGGAATTGGTTTACTGTATTTAATATTGCAACATTTAATCTGCATACTGTTTGCTCACACTTGCAAGTGGACATACTTGGCTTCTCTGTTTGCTGGCATTGTGATTGGAGAAATGACTTTGGCCGGAGGAGTGACCTTGCACTTGGAGAACTTGCCAGGCTGGTATCAGAAGATCAGTCCAATGCAGTGGTCTCTGTCTTTGTTATTGCCTCCGCTTCATCAAACAGAGGTCATGAATAAATTGACCAATTGCAAGCCAAAGCAAATACAGAGGCAGGACATTATAGTTCAAGCTGCCTGCGAACCACCTGATGGTGCTCTAGCATTGTACGAGATTGCACTGCACAAGTTCAGTGTAAGAGGAGAATTGTGGCTGGGTATAGGAATAGCTATTGTCAGTGTTCTGATTATACTAGTATTCCTGTGCATTCGATACACTACTCCCAAGAGACTCAGAAGTGCACCGAACAAGCCATGAAGTGCAACAATTAACGACTGAATAAACATCACCCTTAAATCATAAAAAACTACACACAATATCTCTGTATTTTATTAATGTTAACTAGCAGAGTATTCTCTTGCAATATTATCAGTACAATAATAGATTACCATAAGGAGTATACAAGGAATTATTCACTTCATCGTCAAATATATTTTATGTGTTATGCTCGCGGGCTTTGATTTTTGTCTGTGTTATTGTGACTTTTTAAAACGACAGGATTTAAAAACTCGCAAAATAGACTTGAACAATGAAGTTCCAAAGCCTGACGGGCCGATACACCTTGCAGTTTCTCTCCTTCAAATGCTTTAAAATAATCTGTACTTTGTATTTGCTTTGAAATAATCAAATCAACCGAGGAAATCTAAAATAAAACACAAATGAATTAAAATTCTATTCTTCGTTGATTTTTTTTGTTTGAACTTTAATTTTACACTTCTTCAAATTTTTGAATATTTAAATTGAAAATTATTGATTAATATGGAGAACAAGCTCAGTCGGTTGTTCCATGAAACTTGATTACAAGCTCCATCTACAACTCTAAGAATATCGGCGAAGTCCGATCGGTAAGTATAATTTTTTATTTAGCGAAAGTCCACAAAAAAATTATTTTTAAAATTCACGGAGATCGTTAATTTATTGTTCAAATTATTTTCAGATAATTGTCGAATAATTCACTAACAAAAATATCTTAGAAATCGATGAGCTATCTTTTTTTAGACCAAATTTTGAGTCTAAAAGCGATTCTCCAAATTTATTATCAATAAACGCTTAGACGGCCGAGGTCGATATTCGGCGCAGGACGAATATATCTGGCTAATAGCGTAATGCATATTCCAAACTCGGTCTCAGAAGAAAATAGACAGTCTAGATTAATCAGTCGATTTCGAATGATGTTATCGAACCAGTCATTTTATCGTATCTTTTCGTATCTTTTCTCATTGATTATTTTCCATTCAGTTTTAATTCTTATCACGATGATTATACTATTTTCCTATCAGAGTCAATAAAGATATCTCAAGTATCGTAAATGTTTGACTTCGTAATCGACCTCGCGAATGGTCAAAGCGGAGGAGGCGAGTGATGTTTATCTTTGAACACCAGATATGCATTGTATTGTAGTTTCTGTTTCTCTGCGTTAATACGAGAATTTCTGCCACAAATTCTCCGACTCACGCGAACTCTTATAAATTTGCAATACTCGTATTGTCGTGGAGATTTCTAGTAATTAAAATACCCTTTGTTTTTCTGCTTCTTACGATGTTCTCTTGACGCATTCCGAGCACCCTGTGCAAGTTTCGAGAGCCGCTGGTTCGTTCACCGAATTAATACAAATTGGCAGCAGGGCAATCGTCGTAAATGCCGACTTCCGTCGATGAAAGTAATTAACTGGTGGTGGTAAGTCGGGTGAGCAGAATTCCTGGAAAAAGCGTGAGCTCGTTAGGCGAAGCCGCAGGAGAACAGAATCACGTTCTTGTTTCACGAGCGTTAAACTTCAGCGCGTCGTTACACCTCTAAAATCAATGAACCACTTCTCTGTCTCGCGTTCTACGTGCGTGCACCTTGATTCATTGAGGCTACGATTATACTATGTGCATTCATTTTTCCTACTCTTGTGACACTGAATTATCCACAGTCATTCATGACGATTTCAAGCGAAATCATCGTATGGGATATCTGAAAATTAATTTCGTTTTAATAAACTGCTTAATTGTTCGTTTCTTACAAATTTATAACTTCGAAGAAAGTAAGTAGAATATCAAATACGAGTGAATATCTCGGAAGAAGAATGCTCAGATATTTTTTTTATTTTTCTGATGATTCTAAATGATATAATATATTGTAATAAATAAATAAATAGATGCAAATTGAGGAAAATAAGTTTCTTACTAACTCTGGATATGAGTCATCGAGCATTCGGAGATGTTTCTTCTCCGACAGTGTTCTGAAGAATGAAACGAACTGCATATTTGCTAAGAAAATGGAAATTAAATTGCTGTCGCATGTATTATAATGGACGATTCCATGTACGAGCCATCGTTCCAATTCTTGGCAAGGTCTTTCTACCGACAGGGAAAATAAAACCAGCACAGGATTAATAACGAGAACCTGTGGGCCGCGTGGGCGCGAATGTATAAAGCTCTTTTCGCTTTCTCCCTCCTGATCCCGTTCGCCTCTTCATTGATTATTTTACTTCGCCACCTACCAACGTATGCGGCGCATTCTATATTAGCACGTTACTTCTACATAACAAGCCACCATACACAGAGACATGTATTCTTGAATCCTTTAACAAGAACCGCTAATTAAACTTCCCCAGTTGTTATCCCCGCCCTAATAGGGAAAATTATAATAAAGTAACAAGAGAAAAAAAAAAAAAAAAATTACCTTGTTTTGTATGCTGCCGTGTATTTTAATATTGTATGCTGCCGTATATTTTCGTGAAATTTCTATAAAATAATTTCGGTTGATATCTATTTTATTTTAATATTTAATTTAATTATTCGAGTTTCGTTTAAATCATTCACGCACGTGAACAGATATTTTAACTGGAAATGATCCTTGGACGAGTCGTGTAACACGATGACCGAATTTCAATGTACGTATGTACATATATCGATATATATCGATCACACATGAAATTCAAATCTATTCGTTTTCAATATTTTTCGCTAATTTTTCATGATAAGGTTTGTGTAACACGATCGATATTTCAAAATTTGGACAATCGAATTTCAATATACGCACATATATCGATATATATCGATCACACATGAAATTCAAATCTATTCATTTTCGATATTTCTCGCCAATTTTTCATGATAATATTTACGTAATATGATCGATATTTCAAAATCTGGATGATCGAATTTCAATATACGCACATATATCGATATATATCGATCACACATGAAATTCAAATCTATTCATTTTCGATATTTCTCGCCAATTTTTCATGATAATATTTACGTAATATGATCGATATTTCAAAATCTGGATGATCAAATTTCAATATATATATCAATATATATCGATAATATATATGGGAATTCAAATCTATTTGTTTCCGATATTTTTCGTTAATTCTTTATACGATAGCTACTCGCTTAAAAGTACTTGAAAATTTTTCGTTTCGGTACGTTTTATAATATAGATTTCGCATAAAAAGTGCATGAAATTGAAAGAGACGCGGAAGATTTCTAAATCTAATTGTCATCGATTGAGGGACGAAAATAGACGACGAGTAATAAAACGTTAAATGAAATATTCCTGTTGCCTAGTATACTACTTTCAAGTGATTCTCCCCCTATTTAAGCGAAATTTTTGAGAATTTAAATATCTAAATATTCAATAGAGATGATGCAGTTTTAAAACTTAAGAACGTCATTCGCCGTTGATAAACTGAACTATTTTGACTGCTGAAAAATGAGGGCCTCAAAATTTTGCGATATTTTTAACGCCTCTGCGCGAGAACGATAGAATATTCTACAATGGTCGACAAATAGTTTTCGATCAAATGTCTATTTTCGTCGTCGGATAAAATCATTGGATTGGACGGTTGTATTTAAAAATGTCGTTCAGAAAATTTGTCAGATAATCGAAGATTTTAAACAACTTACCGTCTGAAGTCTGGATTACATGCTCGTGTTCGCAATCGTCCTGGAAATTTTCTGGAATCACATTTGCTGTCTGAATATTTTTTGCAGAACCGTTGAAGATCCGCGTCTGTCTTCGCATTCTCGAACAATCTCATTTGAAAATCGCGAACGAAACGAATGATTCACGGCGATTAACGAACCTTTGAAAAAAAAAACGTAAACGAAGGTAAGAACTCCTTGATTTATTAAAGATCGACAATCAAATTGTGAAATTACACTCACCGTTGCGATTTCAACAGCAAATTCGCCAATTTCTTTCACTTCTCCTCGAAGAGACGTTCCGTTGGACACCAAAAAGGCGGAAGTAGCCACCGCGAAAAACAATGTACCTCCCCTGACTTTCTATTCGAGACACAATTTTAATTTTAACTATTATACCATTGCACAAAATCTTAATTTCGGTTGCTTCTCGATTTCGAACGTTCCGTAAAACCTGTTGCGGATTAAAAATTCGGAAAAGAAATGAAATTGCAATCGCGAGACTGATTAATTGAATCGGAAACGAGGACAGGTGGGAGTAAAAAAAAAAAACTCTCAGCGCCCCCTTTTTTTTGTAGTTACAATAATAGGTAATTAACGATTCATTAAATATGTGCAAAATTTTAAGAAATAATTTAAAATTATTTAGAGCTTAATTAACGGCTATTGCCAACATTAAAAGCAACCGATGAGAAAAAAGGGAAAACGCGGGAGAACAATGTTGCTCATTGAGAGGAAGCCATAATTAGCGCCACCTCTGATTGCGTAATCTCATTTGAACGGATTAATCAATCAATAGACACAATCGATTTCTCTTCCTGTGGAATCCCTTCTTCGAGGAAAATCCTTGGGAAAAATGGAAATGAAGACCTCAAGAAAATCGGAATAATCCACGTACTTATTGTGTAGAAAAGCATTGCAAAACAATTGCACAGGTATAATTTTGTTGTTGATTGATTTATGACGAGTAGGAAGTGTGATATATATTGATTCATTTATGTCGATGCGTATTGATTCGTTCTTCTAGAAACTGCGTGTCGTTTATTCGATCTGTAGGGATAAACTCGTAGGCACATCAAAATCTCGAATCTCGTATGGCTGGAGGAATGTGGGCGCACCAGTTTTGAGAGTCATTCAGAGAATCGCTACCCGACTGACCAATTTCTCTTAGAACGAAAAGCGCGGGAAACTATTTATCTTTAACCTATAAATATGTATGATGCAACATATCATGTTCATCGTCATTTGCATCATAATTAATTACAGCCAACATTAAATAGGTTAGGCTTAGATTATTGTTACTATTATTGCTATTGTAAAATGATCTCCGTCTCAGATGTTTATCTGACATTTAACAATTTTTTTTCTTTTACACGTTGATCGAGACAGGATGCGATCATTCATAGCGGAGGCAGTGGAAGTCTGGTTCGTTTATACCGCTATTCCTCTTGTATATTTTGAAAAATCCTCACGGAAACTCGGATGGTTATTTTAGTGCGCGGCAAAGTTCTTGAGGATCAGAGGTACCATTTTGATCACACTCTATTAGGCATTTTATTCATTTTATTTTCGAGTATGTATAAAAAAATTTTGTTTCAGATTCACGATTGAGAAAATCAACTTGGCTGCCGTTTTCTTACGTTTGAAAAGCCTCCAAGGGTTCCAGGTTGTAATTCGTCTACAGTTCTTTTTTTACGCCAATTACATGGAAACTTTTTTTTTAGATTCGTTTAATTGGGAATCGAGTCGGTACCTGTTCTCCAGCCACGACAAGGGAACGTTTTCCAGCGTCGACGCGGCGAAGAAAGCAGCCGGATGCAGGAGAGGCGAGGGACGTCATTATCTTATCTCAAACCATTTCCTGTCAACCTAGGGCTGCTTTTCGTGGTAATCACACACGCGCGCACACGCCCACGTGACAGCGTATACGAGCTGTGTGTTTCATGTACACACACATGAGCGGGTGCGTGCACTAATGCCCGGCCAAGTGCCAGGGAGTATTGCTTCCGGTGCGTACACCCGCGTCCGTCTCCGTGTTGGTGCGTTCGTGCACATGCACACGCGTTCGATGTTACATTTGGTGAGGCACTGCGAACCCGATAATCGGTTTCCTCCTCCGGTAGCTTGCAGGAACCAGACGCAAATAAACGCCGCGCTACACGACTCCCGCCGTATGGTGGATTCTTGGAAACGGATGTTTTTTTTCAAATCTGGTTTTGTAGAACTCGACAACCGACATACCTTGGGTATATCTCAGGATTTACTTTAGGTAGAAATGTTAACCCTAGGTGAGATTTCTTTGGAGAAAAGGTATTTACAAATTATTAGAAGCTGGAAATTCAGGGAAAGATGTACACGTATTTTAACTCCGAAATTTTTAGCGACAGATGTGAATATCTAAGGACGGAAAAAGGATATTTGCATCGATCGTAGTCGTGAGAAAAGAACGTAATCGTGCCAGAATCAACGAGGCGTACTATAGAATCATGATTGAGTAATGCGCTGCGACTTCCGACTGCATCACGAAATACGTAATGCCACTGTTATTAAGTATGCACACCTGTTAAGGTCATCAACAGGTATCACTTACGTCATCTTAACGTACACATTACTGTTGTAACTGCCATACTGATGCCGCATGCACCTTTTCGACTCTTTTTCACCAGCCACCGATCGATAGTCGCTTTAATAGAAACTCGTTTAGCAATGAACTAAAAAGTGCAGATTCATACCGATCAATAGTTTGTTCCTTGATCCAGGTATAAATTGCCTGAAGGAATACAGCAAAGGTGTTAAAGTACTTATGTTATATTTAGGAAACAAAAGGTTAACTAAAATAAGAAGATAAAAATTTATAATTTCGAGCTCAAGCAAAAATACTTGAATATTTTAGTTTTTCATTATGATATATATTAGAGATTTTTCTTTATATACAGCCTGGAAAAATTAGATGAATATCTAGAAACAAAGTTCCGTAATTCATTGATATTGTTGTTTGACGGATTAACTTGTAACTTTGCTGCAGGATATAGGATAAGGATATTGTCTTTCTAAGGACGGATTTAACACGGTAAACTTTTGTATCTTTGTCTATTCCAATTTCTGGCTAAATATAGGGTGCGACCCACGTCCCGTGGTTACTATAGCAAGCTATTTAATATGATCTATAGACCTAGGTTCTAATGTTAGATATCGAGTCTAATAAAGGTGTTCCTATTATAGTTATTTTGTGGAATCTATATAAGCTTGAGTAGCCAACGATGAAATAGTGGCACACATTTTGACGTGATTCACCCACGTCCATCTATCAGATATCCTGTGGTTATATAATAAAAGTATTTTTTTTTTTTATTTTCAGAAATGTTGACTACGTTATTTCAACGGGATTCATTATCATCTCGCGTGACGTGTTGAAGCTTGAGCGAATATTAATCCATTGTATTTATCGTGCATAGTATGTAGTACAGCTGAGGAGGATTTATACTCCGCACACGTATGTTGAAAAATGCAAATGTAACGAGGAGTCGATATACGAGGATCTATGGCAGGTTCTTACGTAAATCTATAGTCGCCATTGATCGAAATGAGCGTGGAGTACCAAGGACGTCGTAGTACGCTCACCTTATCACACTCCCACGCATTCGAATCGAAATTCGTCTCGTAGCTCGTTGAAGGCCACCGACACCAACCAAGAGGGACTCTTTTCGCCTTTCCATCTCTCCTTCTCTTTATCCTTTTTTTTTTATCTACTCGTTCTTTCTCCGAGCGACGGTTCTCTAGGGGTCGCGATAAAGTGGCCCTGCGCCGTCCGCGTGATCGAACGTGAAAATCTTCAACGACAGCAGCCCAAATGAATGGAATGCCAACCCACGCCCGAGAGCCGCCTGATAGGCTGCTCGATCCGAGGTGAGGCTTCACGTACAGTACGACAGAACTCAGGGACGTAATCTCTTTCACGGATACTGTTATCAAAGAAATCAGCTGGGACATCATGCTTTAACTGGTACAACGATGTATAATAAGATAATTGGAAAATAACACACTACTAATTGTAAACTTTCAAAACTTGTTCGGAAAATTATATTATATCTCACATTTTCAGTTTCTTTGCAGAAAAATTAGAAGTTTATTTTATTAATCTTATGTCATCCTGTATAATTCAGATGAATTGAATGATTTCTAAAAATGATGGATAAAAGACCATCCTGAAATTTCATTCGTTTATCAAGAAAGTTTCGCTGAAATTTAAAATTTCGAAATGCCACAACGATTCTAAGACACGGACGAAGATGCAACGAATCAATGCTCGCTCAATGCTCTGAAATCTCTAAAAATTTCATTAGGTATACGCCGTGCTTCGGTTTTGCCTTACAATTTTTCATTCATGTTTCGCGTTTCAAACTTGACCTAATCCTCTATTTCATTAGTTTAACAGATCTTTACCAAAATATCTTCAATTATTATTCTCATTTTTCAGGCAATAATGAAGATGTAAAGCAATCGGAAGTAGACAGCCAGTGAAGTAGGTAAAAAGAAAATATTCCAGGTTTTGCAGGGGTGACGAGAGACGTTACTCCGATCCTGGCGCCAACACGTGCACGCGAGTGTGCGTGCACGTCGATACGAGGTGGACTCGGGGCAGACGGTGCCGTGTTCTCCTGTGGATCGTAATAATATGCGCCCACGCACGCGTGAGAGAGTGAGCGTGTACAAACGTTCCCTGTCGTCTCCTCACTCCTGGCTCACAGTGCGCTTCGGTCAGTACCGACCCCCCGACCCATCTACCCACGCCTTGTTAATGAAAACATCTTTTGTCAATGAACTGACGTCAGTCTAGGTCGGGATTGGTCCGATAGCGAGCACCACGTGACCTGGCGCCAATCAATGTAAAGACCAGCTTCCCCTACAATCGGGGATCCGAGCGCCATTTGCCCATTCTGGACGGAAGAACGCTCGAGGTAAGGTGTGGCCTGCAGCAGGCTGGCTAGAAGGCCACGAGTGAGTGACAGAGATAGTCTGCCGTGTGCCTGGAACGTTGAAGGAGGACGGACAGTTGGAGGAAAGCGAGAGGAAGACAGAAAGGAAAGACGCACGGAGAATCGTAGCCTGAAGCTCTCTGCTGCTCTCTCCGTGGCTCCGTCGGTCGAGAGTTGACAGAGAAGGAGAGACGTAAGAGAAGAAAGAAAAAAAAAAAAAAGAAACGAAGAGCAGGAAGTCGGTACGCCAACCGAGGGAAGACGCGTCGAGCGATGTTGGAGGGATTTGTGAGGTGAGGGCGACGGTCTCGAGTCGCGCAGCGCCGAGATACGCGACCAATCTCCTGAACTAAAGCACCTCGTTCACTCGGATTTGAATCGACCGTTCACAGCGGTTCCAGTGTGCAGCACAGCATCCCTGTGTTGGTCAAGTTGAGAAGGGAAAGCTAGATCTGAGAACGTAGTATCTGGTGCAGGCTGCGTATTATTCTGTCGAATGCACGACGATAAAAGAAAACTGGACGACGAAGAGAAAAGAGGATTCATAGCAAGGAGAAGAACAGATGTACATATACACTTGTCGTTTGTTTCATTGTGAAAGAGATGAGAGGGTAATGCTAACATTATGTTCTTTGTAAGATGTGATATGATGTCGGTTTAATTGTTGATGTGATCGTCGAGATAAACAAGCAGAAGGAAGTGTGTACTGGCCAGAGCGCGTGGGATCATGCATTTGTCGGATGGGCTGAAACATTCCGCGGCCGTGGCGTTAATTAGACCTGCCGTCTTTATTTACAAAAGAATCAATAATCGAGACAAGCTGTTAGCGGTGGCAGTAGCGGAGAAGAAGGAGGAGGAGGAATAGAAAACACGGCATCGAGGTGCCGCAGAAAAGTGATGGGAACACGTGAGAAAACGTCGGATTACGACACGTATACGCCTGTATGAGGCTGGTGGAGGACGTCAAACGTCTGAATGCCTCCCAAGAACGTATTCTATTATACAACTTCAAGTGCCATTTCGTATTTGATAAATAATTAAGAGCAAATGTACAGGACGCATGCATGCAGGATGCGCGCGTTCGCTGAATGTACATGCACATTTATTTCACATTACCCACAGTTACCAATAAACATGTAGTGGGAAAATTGTTGTCCTGTGGATTACGACTCTGGGCAGATGTTATATGTATACACTGACCATTTCGTAGAAACCAATGGTACAGCATTATTTGAAAGTGCCATATCAAAGAGATTTCTTTCGACATTGTCATGTCTCAGGTGTTTGTCTGTTTTCTTTCCCTTAATAATTTTTTTTTTTTTTAATGCAATGGGAAATGATAAATTCATCAATAAGGAGATTATGTTTGTAAGAACAAGTGTGCTTTAAAAAGAGAGAAATTGAAGGCCAAAGAAGCATCAGGAATTCCAGTTAAAGTTTACAACATGCCAGGTGGAAATATGGAGGAAGATTTGGTGGATCCTGACTGGCTTTTCAGGCAACTTAGGTCATTAGATGGTCCAAACAAACTTCTCATCTTAGATTGTAGAGCACATTCTGATTTCTCTGAAGCTCATATTAGAGGCTCTGTACCCTTAGCTATACCTAGCATCATGCTAAGACGGCTAGCAGTTGGTAAAGTTGATCTGCTGTCAACAATAAGGTGCTTAGATCTAAGAAACAGAGTGAAAGTGTTTCTGTGTGGTGATGAAAATAGTAGAGGAACATTCATATTGATTGGTGACTCTACAGACCCTGCAGGGCATCAGGGTGAAACAATTCAAGTTTTAAGTCGGAGACTTAGAAATAGTGGAGGATATGTTGCTATTTTAGTGGGTAAGAAAAATAGTATTTGTAAATGTATTATTTATGTAATTGTATATGATATTTATATACAGTTAGAGCAAATATATGCTTTAAAGATGAAAGATAATATGTTTTAACTGAATTTACATTTTAAAAAAGAAAAGGTAACTAATGTTATGACATACTTTAAGTTTTCAACTTCAAGTTGTGTCTACTATTGAAAAGCTTAAAAAATTATAATCAAACCTTTAAAAATATTTATTTATGTGAAGAATATTGATGTCCAACTAATTCCAGTTATATTTCCTGTTTACTAAAGTGTATTTTTATTTCATTTATTTTTCAGTAAAAAATATATTCTTTTTTATGTTTTTATGTTTTTGTCTTTAAATTATTTATGCTAGTACAAACCCTTCATTTTATTTTTTTTTTTTACAGATGGTTTTGGAGCATTCAGAGATAGATACCCTGAATGGTGCGAAGGTAATCAAACTAGTAGTGAAGGTCCTCCAGGACAAGATTCCAATGAAGGTGAATTAATGGGTCTTAGGTCACTTAGAATTTCCACACCACCTACAAGATCATATTCAGATTCTGACAGCGATAGCACATGTGATTCAGTCGGTTAGTACCTCATATAAACTTTTTTCTTTCATAAAATACAGATCACAAAATGTTGAAATTATTTTATTTTTCTTCAGGACCCGAGGAGGACAAAGACTTTCCAGTTGAAATTCTACCCCATTTATACCTTGGAAACGCAGCAAACAGCGAAGACAGAGAAGCCCTGGCGCGTCATAGAATACAATACATTCTGAACGTAACCCCAGATTTGCCAAATGTATTTGAAAGCGCTGGTTCGATAAAATACATGCAAATACCCATAAGCGATCACTGGAGCCAGAATTTAGCTAGTTTCTTTCCGCAAGCAATTCAGTTCATTGGTGAATATGATCTGCAAAATCAAAGTTTCAATTATATGTAAATGCAAGATATGATCGTTTCTTCATCTTTCAGAGGAGGCTCGAAGTTCAGACAAGGGAGTGCTGGTTCACTGTCTGGCCGGAGTATCTCGATCCGTCACTATCACCGTAGCTTACCTTATGCACAAGTGTAGTCTCAGTTTGAACGATGCTTTCAATTTGGTGCGCAGTCGAAAATCTAACGTTGCTCCAAACTTCCATTTTATGGAGCAATTGCACAGTTTTGAGAAGGAGCTAAAGGATAGAGGCGACAGAAGTAGCAGGGGAAATGATCAAAGGTGTATTGGAGCATGCCGACCCGGAGGACCATGTAATTGTCCAGCTCCCAGTTTCCTCAGTCCTATAGATCTGGGCCTTAGTCCAGACTCCGGAATAGAATTCGACAGGTGGGCGTCAAGTACGCCGGCAGAATGAGACGGGCCAGGGGGGACCCAATATAAATTTTAGGTCCCTCCTAGTACGCTGCCATAATAGCAAGGGAAGCCCTAATTGAAGGGTGCGGGAAAGGAAGTTTATATTTCTGCTAAGAGAAAAAAATATCCTAAGATGAGGAACGCAGTGATCGCAGTGGATTGTAATTTTGAAACATACTGCGAGGATTGAAAATTTAGAGTCACTAGGTGTTTTAAGAAACGCGAAGATTCATAAAAAAAGTTTACAATTTCAAATTAGCTCAAAAACTGTTTCGTCAACTAGCTAAATTTACTATTATATAACTGTACAGTATTAACTCTGAAGTAACAGAAGATATAGTGGAAGATTTGCAATTAGTGATTTCAAGCTGACAGAATTTTATGGTAAAAGTCTCCTCACGTATTAAGTCGCGCACAGTGAACGAAATACGCTGACCTCAATTGTTAAAACGGTGTTGAGCCTTTCCAGTATTTTTCTATCGAGTAAGAGTATATTTCTGTCGAGACTTCGCAAGCCGTGATTCTATACTGTCGCTTCGGTGGAAAAAGAAGTTAAAGGACTTGAGTAATATAAGCACGATTGAATTTCTCTTTCAGAAAATGATTTTTAATTTAATGAAGCAATGATTCTAAATCTTGATCTAAGACGTAATTTAGAAGAAGAAAAATTTTTGTAGTGCTGCTACGAGGGATTTGTAACTCTTTCTTTTCTAAGTTATCGTGATATAGTGTTGAACACTGAAAGTATTTTATAAATTCCACTCTGTAATTTCTTACAAGTAACTAGCGTAATTATACTCTCAAGATTAGTAGATTATTTGCTACAAACTCAAGGCTCTTTTTTTAAATAGCGTCTAAATTCGTTCGACTCTCAATCCATTTCTAGGATACAATTTTATACATGTGAGATATCTATATTTTTAATACTTGTTCCCTGAACCCTTCAATTAATGAGGCTGTGTTTGATTTTATCGCAGATAATGCTTATTCGGAGTGAAATGAGATGAAATATGAATCGTAAAACAGGCAATCATAAGTAGTCGAATTAAAAGAGTAATTAATTACAACTGTGCTTGAAAGAACACTAAATTTAAGTTCAGAGGTACAAAAAGAATTGAGAAAATTCTCTCGTGTATTTGGCAATTTAGACTATAATAATAATAATAATAATAATAATAATAATAATAATAATAATGATAGTAATAATAAAAGGAAAGGTATATACATAGAAAGATTATGATTCAATACTATTCGAACATAATTTTTGACATAACTTTTCAAATCCACAAAAGTGACTTATCTTGAGAAGGGTACATATTTCCCGGTGCAATTCTGACTTTTAAAGATTTGCAACCTTGTGTGCACATTCTCTATCTCTGTCTGTCTCTGTCTATCTCCTTTTCAAATAATTAATCTTGGTTAATAATCGATTAAGAAATATGTCTTTATGGATCGGTGCATTTTTATAGGGCATTCCGAAACTTCTATTTCCAAGATGAAAATTCGGGGTCGTCGTAGATGCATACAAGAAAAAAAAAGAAATTCTGACTACGGAACGGAAAAGAATTGATAAAAAAAAATTGGCGTTACTATGAATTAAACAATTGAAGAAAAAATTAAAAATACAGTACCTACGTATGTATGGGTATACATAGGTATATATACACATATTATACCTCAGAATTCTGATAAAGAAATTTATTTATAAAGATGTTTTTGTACGACAGTCATGATTCTTACATCAATACAAAAGAAAAAAAAGAAAAAGAAACTGATTAATTATAAACACACATATACGACGATGTACAGCAATTTGAAGTACTAAAAAAATTTTTAATTGTGCGATCCAGTACTCTTTCTATTGTCTTAGATCTCAGATTATATATTTCAAATTATTTTTGTAAGAAAAAAAAACAAAGAACGAAAAAAGATAACGGAAATCGCATATTCACATTCCCACGAACCACAAATGACCTGACGATACTATAAAAAAAGAAACAAAGGATAAAAAAAAATTATCTTTCGTGTACTGTATGTATTATTCATCGAGCATAATTGAAGTTAATAATGAGTGTACACAGTGAATGTTATTATTTTTCATCGTAATTAATTACGAAGTTGTGGTAATCATCTCTCAGCTTATTCGCGAGAGTGAATTGATATACAATTAAAGAAAACAAAAAAAAAGTATATATATATATACATATATATACATATATTTGACGTTAATGTAATAACAATATTCTACTATTACACTGTTGTCTGTTGTATGTTTGTCGGGCAAGACGCTCGAAAAATTTAATCAAATATTATGTATATTACATAAATTATTATTTTATATTCATCGTTGTACACATATTTTAAATGATTAATTTTCATTTCAAAATACACAGTTTATTTTATCTGAACTGAAATGAAAATAACTAATTTTTATAAAAAGAACAAAAAGAAAAAAAAAGAAGGAAGGAAAGAAGGAAGCGGCACGTGTTTTCTTTCTCGGATAAACGAAGATGTCTCTTAAATATGGCAAAATGTACTTTTATTAGCAATGAGATAATTATAATGTTTAAACCATCAGATTGCAAAAAATATAAGAAACCTATTTAACGCAATATTGGTAAAATGTTTGTTAATTACAATACTTAATTGTTCGAATCTTGGATTCCACGTGCATTTTTCTTGCAATTTTTTTTCTATCTTTTATATATATTTAAATAATTAAACTAATTATCTGTTTTGAACAATTTGCCAACTTGTTCGTTGAAACTGTAGTTTCTGACATAGTTTGAAGTATGTTTAATGCAACTTCCGATTGTCGTACCGCTTTTATTAAATTATTTTGATCCTCTGAATTTGATGTGCTTAAAAGTGTTCCCATTGCAACGAGAGTTCTGAACACTGCTTCAGGCTCATTTAACAATGGTAACAATGAGAACATTGCATTCAGACATTGTGTTTTGCCGAGAGCATCATTGTATTTATTTAGAGCCACGGTTAAATTCAATATATAAGTCGAAATTGCTACCTGAAAATATCCAAATGGATTGATTTCATTGAATCGTATGATATAAATCTTTTGTACTAATATATAAATCTTTATTCTTTCATGCTATCCATACCTGGTTATTTTTGTTTGTAAGTGATTCCAACTCCGATAAAAGTTTCAGTATGTCATCTTTACAACTAAGACATAATTTTTCTCCTTTTTCATGACTGAACATGTTCGCCAGCAAGCGGAAAGTAAGCATCTGATTGGAAGGAAGAGCGTCGGATTTGATATGCCTCTTTACAATCTGCAGAAGTTCCTCTGTGCATAGTATATCATTCAATTCTCTACAGAGTACTGCAAGTCTAGTAATATCGAGTACAGGAAACAACACATCATCTGACCAATTCAAGAGTGTTTGTAAAGTGTTCAAGGCATCGGTTTTCAATTGTTCAGGTGCTTGGTCACCAACAAGTTTCACCAAGCATTCCAATTTATCACTTGACAGCTTGAGAGAATCGCTTTGTTTATCATTTAGTTCCTTTATTTTTTCTATAAAAAAAAAAAATACTAAATTAATTTATTATATTAATTAATGTATGAGACATCAGCAATAGAAAGTACAAGTACCTAGAATTTGAGAAAGATTAGCCTGTTCCAATTTCAGGTATTTTGTATGAGGAATATAAGAAGGTGTGGATGCATCTGAGGAATTTGGTGTGTCTGGTCTCGTGGATTCTTGCGAAGCTGTATTTGCTGTCGATTGAGGAATGTATCTACTGCCTCCTGTGAAAGGATCAGCATATTGAGCATCAGGTTTCGTAACTGGTGCAGATTGAGAATTTTTTATTATAAAATTTGCAACCTATAAATGAAAATAAATTACCATAAAAATTATTTCTTATCGAAAAAAACTAAGCATTTATCTCAAGCTTTATACCTGATCTAGAAACAATTGACTAAGACCGTTATCGTGAAGAAATTTCTGCGCGACATGCCATGGATCCTGATCATTGTTATAGGGCAATTTTAATGGAGGAATACCATCTTGTATATCCACAGAGAATACGTAATCGTACTCTATGCCATTGTAAAGTTGTTTTCCAGATGTAGCTACGGTACCACCCGAAGCACCCATGACGTTACCGATCTTTATCCACCTTTGTTCATTTTGTGACCAGCTATATGCTTTTATAGTATTTCCATCGTTTACTATTTTAGTCTGGCCATCTTTTTGGCCAGGCTGCAACAAGGCTTTTGTATCTGGTAAACTGTCAATGCAAAAATTATGATTTTAGCTTATTATTTACAATTTGATTCACTTTTCAGCTACTTAACTTACTCCTTAACTTTGATCCCACCTAGCTCTTGTTGAGCATTAAGCTTAACACTGGCTACTTGTTGCTCAAATTCCTGCAATGTCTCCGAATCTGCATATCGTTCGGAATTGCATGTAAATATCCTAACGACGCCATCAGAACTTCCAGTAACTACATCACCATTAGGAAGTAGAGCCAGACACCACACAGACTGAGTGGGTAAAGTAATAGTTTGACTTAATTCTGTATTATGCCATATCCTAAGTGTCCGATCTTCACCACAAGTAAATATACTTGTACCATTTTCTAAGGCTAAAATGTTATAGACATAATTTTCATGGCCACAATAGGTTCCTAAGCAAGTTCCAAGAGATACGTTCCAATGACGTACAGTGGCATCATTGGCACAAGTTAAAAATTCATTGCCACTTATTGGAGAAATATCACGAACACAATCTGTATGCCCAGTTAACTTATGCTGTACTGAACCATCGCTTGTCCATACTATAACAAGCTTATCTGCAGATCCAGTTATAATGGACCCGCTTGACAAGTCTGCCACACACCATACAGCAGCTGTATGACCTAACAAATTTAACTGTGGCTTGCTTAAGTCACTTAGACTCCATGACTTTGCGCTCATGTCCCAGGAACTTGACAAAAACGTTCCATCCTTTGTACCAGTTGTCAATTTACAAACGGTATCCTGATGACTTTTTATAATGTTTATGGGCTCCATTTGGTCCTGAACATAGATACGTATGGTTTTATCATGACTACCAGTAATAATAAAACCTGTCGGATTTTGCTCAGAGGGATTTACAACGCATACAGCTGCGACAAAGTTGGAATGTCCTTTCAAAGTTGCAGTGTGTTCATAGTCTCTCCCATTTCTGTAAAATGTTTATACAATGTCATTTACATAACGCAGCACTCATGCAAGAAATACCATTTACATGGAATAAGTAAAAAAAAATTTCTTTACTATGCAAGAATACCAGTACTGCAATGACACACCTAACGAGGTCTTTCGTGTCGAGTTGGATTCTTTAATCATTCAGAATCCAGCTCACATTTTTTTACCATATTTATTGAAGTTACGTACGTATACTAGTACAAAAGAGTTTTCTATATAGTAAAAAGATCTTTATAAAATGAACTGTTATTTATTTATTTATAAAGGAAATTTCGTCAGAGGTGGTGAGAGGAGAACCGGTATACGGAGTTAATGAAATACTTGAACAGGTTAAATACCCGCATGATTTCCAAATACGTGCGGTCTCATCCCTCGAGGTGGAAACTATAGTTCCGTCGGCGAACGTCGCCACAGCTCTCACGTCGGATGTGTGCCCGAAAAGAGAAGTTCTCAGCTTGTAACACGGCTTGGCCATAGCACTTTGATAGTCGTGCGAGGCACGCAGCAAGGACATTACTTATGCGAACACTGTGGCTGGGATAATGTTCGCCGATTCTCGATGCGAATAAATGTGGACAAATTCGCACGGTTTTAACATTTAAAACGCACCCGGGCATGCGTGACAATGATCACTGTGCTCGTACGGCGTTACATGCATTTTTCCCCCCGCATAACTACGTTCTTTATACGTAAACAAAGTTCTCCCCTGCCTTTTTGCTAACGTCATTAGCCTAATGTTGTCATTCGAGTTGATTTCACGAAAAAAGGTAATGATGAGAGTAAGCTTGTTAACAACATCTTATCACGTAAAAATTCAATTAATTGGTTATTTTCATGAATTCCTCATTGAGATCGTAATTCGCTAAAATTGGTATTTCTTTGTCTTTTTTGCTTTTTTTTTGGATACCAGATTCTCTGTTGCACATCCGCCTTGATATGTCGCAAATATGGTTGAAAATTTACTTTAACATTCTTGGCGGGGATTTTGAATGTTACGAAATGTTTTAGGTTATGACAGCATAGTTTATATTTAATACTGTACAACATATATGGATGCTATTACATAATACATAATTATTAATAATGACATACATATATGCATATTTTGTCAAAAAAGAAAATGTCTTCGTCATTAGTTACTAATATATAGTAAATCCGTACGGTTGAAGACATGTCATTTCCGCAAAGTGAGCAACTTCCGTTTGATTACGTGTTGTATTGTAAATGGAACCGCTAATTTAAGATAATAGACCGGTGTCGTAGTACGGAAATTATCGTTCATAATGAGATTTATAAACAAATGTCTTTGTTTTGTTGCAATATTTGGAGCAGCAAATGCCGGAGGGCCTACACTAGTTTTACTCGATAATCTAGCTATAAAAGAAACACATTCCATATTTTTTAAGATCTTACAGGGTATGTAAATATTTGGTTATAAAGTTCAATGAAACAGTCATTTATTGCCAATCTATCTTAAACCTCTTTATTTTTCTCGAATTACAGCAGCATTAAACGCGTTTAACTGTATTGTACAATATTTAATTGCACTCATGTGGTATACCTTGAGGTTATGTTGTTAGTAATTTCAAAAATTTTTTTGTAGATAGTGGATACACGTTAACATTTAAATTAGCGGATGATGCTAATCTACAGCTTTCTAAGTATGGAGAGTATTTGTACCAGCATTTAATAATATTTGCTCCTACCGTGGAAGAGTTTGGAGGAATAGTGTGTGTTGAAACAATAACAGACTTTATCGATGGTGGTGGCAACGTTCTAGTTGCTGGTTCACCTCAGTATGGAGATATTCTTCATGAACTGGCTTCAGAATGTGGTATTGAAATCGATGAAGAGGATTCTGCGGTCATTGATCATTTAAATTATGATGTTTCTGATAATGGTTATCATACCAAAATAGTAGCAGACTCTGTCAATTTAATAGATGCTCCTGCAATTGTTGGAAACAAAAATGTATCACCTTTACTCTATCAAGGAACTGGATTGATCGCAGATACAGAAAATCCTTTAATTTTACGTTTACTAACAGCATCTAGTTCAGCATATTCTTATATTCCACAAAGTCCCATAAGATACTATCCGCATGCAGTAGGCAAAAGTACATTGCTGATTGCTGCTTTGCAAGCCAGGAATAATGCTAGAGTAGTATTTTCTGGTTCGTTGTATTTCTTCAGTGACGAAGCCTTCACTAGCCCTATTCAGAAAGCTCAAGGTAAAAAGAACATGTTCAATGTTATAATTCTTTCTTTATGATCGTGTATTAAATAAACTGAAAACGATGTACAGGTGGCCAGAAGTACGAGAAATCTGGAAATGAAGCTGTAGCAACGATGATCGCTCGCTGGGTGTTCAAGGAGAATGGCGTGATCCGTGTCTCAGCTGTTCATCATCACAGAGTTGGAGAATCTGAACCTCCAGCAGCTTATACTATCATGGACGATGTAGTTTACTCCATTGACGTTCAGAAATTAGCTGGAGACAAATGGGTTCCTTATGAAACTAATGATTTACAATTAGAATTCGTTAGAATAGATCCCTTCATCCGCATGACTATGAAACCTGTAGGAAATGGTCGATACGAAGCAAGATTTAAAATCCCCGATGTTTACGGAGTTTACCAATTCAAAGTAGATTACACTCGTATTGGTTTGACGCATTTGTACAGTACTACTCAAGTGTCTGTGCGTCCTTTGCAACATACTCAATACGAACGCTTTATACCCAGTGCATTTCCTTACTATGTAAGTGCATTCTCAATGATGGGCGGGGTATTCTTATTTTCTCTGGTGTTCTTGCATTACAAAGAAGACACAAAACCGAAGTCTGAATAAATTCAATGTTGATGAAATGCACAAGATAATTTATCATTATTGTTATTTCATTAAGGAAAATAGCAGGGTGCTTAGTCAGACTTGTCAATCAAGTGCATTTATGTTGCATATTTAAATATGTGACAGCAGATCTATATTTATTTGATGAAGCATTGAAAAAGAAGAAGGGAAAGGAGAGATGTACATTAAATGTTGGTATGATGGCCGATATTCATTAGGTAACTTTGGAAGATGTTTTTTGTATTTCCCGTAATAAATGAAAAAAAGAAATGTAAACGAGTCTCTTTTCTTTCAGTTTACAACTGCAGAAATGCAAAAAATTCGCTATATACATATATACATATATATACAACGAGTTAAATGTTCTTATTGATTAACAAAGTCAAGTTCTAAGTGCACAATGTTTGAATGCGGATTGTATAAAAAATGGATAAAGATATTTAAAGCTTATTTTTTATCTTATCTAATCTTAATTTTTTCGGTGAAATTTTTAATAGTCTTGAAAATTTCGATGACATAGCAATAAAAAAATTAAACTGTGTGTTGTTTATGTACATTCGTATTTTTGTAAACACAGGGTTCGGAGAAAGATTTTTATTTCTGGGTATATATTATACTTTTATGTGTTTTGTATATTTTTGATATTTAAATTGTACGCAAATGCATAAACATCTATAATTTACTAACAGTATAAATAACAGCGTACCTTCAAATTCAGTTTGTAGAAATAATTAGAAATTTATATCGCAGAAAGGAGATTTCGTGATTATAAATAATTAAGTTTCAAAGTTCCTTCCATGATGTCGAGATTGTTGAATGTGCAGCACGATGGTATTCGCGATCGATGAGGCTTGTTTGATATGATCCATATCGTTGACGGGAGATCTCGTGATTTTCGTAATAAAAGAAATAGCATTTCAATGTGAAAAATGTTACTTTCGCTCGAGGAAAGCTGCACTTCGCCGATCGTGCGATGCATAATTGCTATTACATCGTGAGTTTCGAAAATTTGACGAAACTTCGACAAATATAACCTATGCAGATTATGTTTATGCCTGCTTCTGTATATAAGTCCATTCTCGTAGTTATTAAGCAACTTTATAATCCTTCAAAATGTTGGAAGGACTTGTCGCCTGGGTATTAAACAATTATCTTGGGAAATATGTGGAAAATTTAAATACCGATCAACTGAGTATTGCCTTACTGTCCGGTAAGGTTATATTTCCCTTCCTAATTATACTTATCTGGTTTAACAAGGAATCTCTATTAAAATACTGATTGACAATGCATGTTCATGGATAATACTTCTTTCATTCTGTTCAAAAATTTAGATTTAGTTGGGTATTATATCATTGTTTGTAAAGTAGCTATGGAATTTATTTTTCATATGATCTCCTTAAACGTTATTATATTTCGTATAACGAAATTTAATGTTTCTATTAGAAAAATTATTCTATTTTAGGTGAAGTTGAATTGGAAAATTTGCCGTTAAAGAAGGAGGCCTTGCGTCATATTGGGTTACCGATAGAAATAAAAGCAGGGTTTATTGGTAAAGTAAGATTACAAGTACCTGTTCGTCAAATAAGGACAGCCTCATGGGTCATAGTCATAGAACAACTTTACTTGGTAGCTGGACCAATCAGTTTAGATGAGGTATATGAAATATGATTCTCTTGTAATATACAGATATGGCATATGAATTATATGATTCTCGTATAGTACATATTTTCTGTTTTATATATTTACAAATAATTGTTTATAGTTTGATAGTGAAGCAGAGGAGCAGGCAATTCTAGAATATAAGCTGAGTCGATTAGATTCATTAGAAGCCAGATGGAGAACGGACACAGAACGAGATCCTGGTTATTATGCTACTAGTTATAGTTCTTGGGTAAATTATGGCACCTCCTTGATCACGAATATTATTGAAAACTTGCAGCTCAATATCAAAGATGTCCATATAAGATATGAAGATAGTGTGACTTTGCCAGATGGTAAATATAGTTTTTTTATTTAATAGAATAAGAAATGAAGATGAGCAAAGTGATGTTAAATATATTACTGAAAAAGAATTTTGACCAATAGATACTGGCGTTGTACTTGGTGTAACTATAGGAGCTCTAACTGCACAAAGTTGCGATGCCAGTTGGATACCAGGTTCCACTTCCTGGAATCTTACAGATGCTTCTTTTAAGCTCATGGAACTTGACAGGCTTTCCATTTACTGGAATCACTTGAAAAAAGATGAATTTCTTGGTTCTCTCAGTCTTGGTGATTTAGCTGTACATATTAATTTTTCTACATCTAGTTCGAATAATTAGAAATAAAATATCAAATAATGTTGAAATTAATTTTCTTTCCAGATCGCCATGAGCGAACCAAAGAATATAATAAAGAACCATATCTTGTTACCTGTTAATGCGAGAGCTCATATTAAGAGAGATAGATCTGAGCGACCATTGAGGTCTACTAATAAACCTAGAATGATTGTCGATCTTTTATTAGATGATGTTCCATTATGTCTCACAGATGTAAGTTCAGCTTATATGTCTGTTTTCATATGTAAAGTTTGTATATTATAAGTGACTTCCTGTTACAGGTACAGTATGATCAAATAGTTAAATGTATAAGAGGATTAAAAGATATAGAACGTTGTAAGCAACAGAGATCTTGTCGTCCAGTGATTAGCGTGTCGGCTGCACCAAGAGAATGGTGGAAGTACGCGGCAAGGTGTCACCTCGGCAAAGATGTTCTGAAATCTAAACCATCATGGGGAGATATTTTTCGGAGAGGCAAAGAAAACATTTTGTACGTGGAGAGTTACGCTAAATTGTTAGGTACTTGAAAAATTATAGGAATTTACCATTTACTTACCATTGTTTCTTGGTACCAATTAGTGTTATTTTATAGGCACGCCAACTACTATTTTACCTACAGACATGAAACAGTTAAAAGAGAAGATAGAGCAGGAACGAAATTTTGATGAATTGAGAGTACTGAGGGAAATAGCAATGTACAGAGTCAACCCACCGAAAGTGCTTCAGAATTCTGATGTGAATCTACCACAACCTAGAGGAATGTTGGAGCAGTGGTTTCCACAGTGGTGGGGCTGGTATTCAAAGAGTTCAAATACGAACACTCAGAGCACATCTTCTACATTTGATGGAGAGCTTTTAGATGTTTTGGCAGACACCATAGACGATGACACTTTGCTACGTCGAGATACAGTGTTTGGACAGTTCAATTTTACTCTGTCGAAAGGTGCTTTCTCCCTTTGCATGATGAAAAACGACGGCGAGAATACGAAAGCAGTGATAGAACTGCAGTTTGAACGAGTGAACTTGAGTTACGATTCGAGACCAAGGTACGGATCTCACAAGTTCTTTATCAGTTTGGGAGCCTTGTATCTTCACGACTATCTCACAGAGAATTCTACTTTTCCCATTTTGGTGCAGCCTCAAATGATTCCTACAATAAACTCTAGGGTACGCAGCTCTTCAGAAAAATTAACCAATCAATTGCCTCAACAACTTTTTGAAATGACTTACGAGAAAAGACCGTTGCACTCGAATGCCGATCATTTGTTACAAGTGAATTCAAAGTCTTTAGATGTAGTTTACAATCCTGCGGTGATACACTGGCTTATAGACTTCATGAGTAAACCACACAGACCATCAACCAATCAAAAGTTTCAAGCAATGAAACGGCGAACGCGGAGACAACTTATCAAAAACTGGGAACAGATTTTGGACGGAGATCTGGTGTATCGTTCCTCCTGGGATTTGCAATTTAATATATCTGCGCCACAAATTCTGCTAGTTGAGAATTTTACCGATCCTAATGCCGCGGTAGTAGTTGTTGATTTCGGAAAACTCCACTTGTCGAACAGCGTACAGGATAACAAGGCAATCATTAAAACATCATCCCCCGAACCTAACAGCGATGACGAGGATGAGAGATTTGAGACACCTTGCTCGACACCGCCCGGAAGTCAAGAAAACGGTTCCATACAAGATTTTCAGACTATTTCCGAGACCGCGCTGCATCAAAAGCTGTACGATCACTATTCCATCGATCTGGTGGATTTGCAAATTCTTGTAGGAAAGGTAAAAGATAACTGGAAACATGTGCGAACCAGGGGGATGTCTAGCTTGCACGTTTTAGAACGTTTTAACATATCCTTGCAAATTGAACGAAGAGTGTTCGTTTCCTCTGATCCAAATTTGCCGTCGGTGACTGTGTCTGGGAATCTGCCGAGATTGGTGGTCCATGTGAATGAACAAAAGGTGGAAGCAATTAGATTGATGTACAGCTTGTTGTCCAGCTTCTCGAAATCCAGCGGGATTTCTCAGGCTGACATGATCAGTATAGAACCAGAAAGTCCCAAAAAGGAAGAGAGCCTAGAGAAATCTGTGAGTCATGCGGTTATGGTCCAATTTATCATCGATCAAATGACCTTCGAGTTGCAATCTAGAGGTCGCAGTGTGGCGGAGCTGCAGGTCTCTGGTGTCCGAGCCGCCTTTAGTAAAAGAACTGCAGATCTCAGCGTTTCCCTCTCTGTTCACGGTTTGCTTCTCGTCGACGCTCTTCAGGAATTCGGTCCCGATTTTGAATTATTAGTGGCCAGTCACAAACACGTGGGAATGGACAGCATTTCTGGGAGCTTGAGAGATTCGGAACCAACGTCCCCTGTCTCTCCAGTTTCTCCTGGTTCTCCCGATCCCAATGTACCGAGGAGATTGACCTCTCCAATTGCCTTGACCAATGCTTTGTCAAATCTAGCGAGCAAAGCGAAGAGTATTCAATCGCCTAGAAGTAATTCTTTGATTGAGCTGGAGAAAATGGATTCTGAAGCTCTGATAGTAGTTGAATTAACTCTGGTATACGACACATTGGAGATTTTAAGAGTGGCCAACATTCAATTTAATAACTTGGATATTATTGCCAATCAGGAGACCATAGTAGAACTCATGGGATTCTTTAAAAGGATATTCCCTTCTCAAAGAAAAATGAAGCCAGGATACATCGAGAGGCAAGAATCCCTGTCAAACCAAACCACCGAGCCAAAAGTTTCCACCAGGACGGAAATAACCTTTGATTTCCACAGATTGAACGTGCTTCTGTTAAGAGCTGTAATGCAGGACAATCACTTGGTGGGTCAGAAAATCGCCACAGCCACGATGTGCGACGCTCGTATACAAGCTACCTTGTCTGTAAACGCGTCTATCTCTGGTTCACTTGGTGGCTTGCAAATTTTGGATCAAACATCAATTGGT